TTCAAATGACCTCACAGATTCTTGATTGGGTTTAAATCTGGGTCTGACTTGGCCATTTCAGGATATTTACATTATTTTCAGCAAGCCATTTCTTCATAGATTTTGCTGTGTGCTTAGGATCATTATCTTGTTGGAAGATCCAATCAGAAGGAAGTTCAAGATTTTCAAGCAAAATCATTAAATTTGCTTCCAAAACATTTTGGTATACTTTGGCATTCATTCTACCATCTATTACTGATATGTTGCTGGTACCTTTTGCAGAAAGACATCCCCAAGCCATGATTCTGCCACCACAAATTTCAGTGTTGGAGCTCTATTTTTTTTTTGTTTGAAGGCATCGCCATCTTTCCTCCATACATAACTCAATTTTAGTTTTGACTCTCCATAATACTCTTTCCCAATACAATTTTTCCTTATCCTTATGTTCATGAATGAATAATCAACCTGGCATCAATAGCAATGGAAATTTCTGAGGGGAGCGGCACTTTAGATTGTTTCTATGAATTTCATTACTTATTGTCTGTTTATTGACATTTGATTCCTGATGAAAGCAAACCATCCTGCAACTTTTGAGTTACCATTGGATTTTGTTTAATTTGATGCATTAATTTCCTCGAAGATCTTGAATAAATCTTCCATGGAAAACCTATTCTTTGGAATTCAACAGTTTTGAGTTTTTACAACTTGCAGTGAATGAAGTAATGGTAGTAAATGGAATATTCATGCTGTCTGAGATTTTCCTGTAACTTTTACCTTCTTTCCAGAGCTTAACAATTAGTTCTTTTTGCGAATTTGTCAATTCATTACCACTTGCCATGATGATAACCTTCTTGCACAAATATCAGTTACAGAATGTTCTATTAGTATTTTTAAAAAAATTTTAAAAATGACTGCTGATAACATTGAAATATTCTAAAATATTCCACTGGAATAATCTACAGTATCAGACCAATTTAAGTTGTAAAATCTGAAATTTGCATTGTATGAATACTTTTTTCACCCATTAAAATGGATAAATGGGGTTTATTTCTATTAAACAAAATTTTTTTTTCTGTGCGTATTTACTTATTATGCATCTGAGTACAGTTAATTATGTGAAAAGTATGTTTATTCATTAGTTGGAAATACAATAAATTAAAATTTGTATGTGTACGAATATTGTTTCCACCCACATATATATATATATATATATATATATATATATATATATATATATATATATATATATAATTATGGGCCAATTCACGCAACACAAAATTTAAAAAGAAAAGATTAAAAAAACAACTTGTTGTCAAAGAATATGACCAATGTTTACCACTCTGTAATAGATGGGAAAAATCGTCAGCATTAATTAACCCATTTGAGAATGATATGTCGTTAAACTAAATAAACCAAACTATGGCGGATGGATTCTCTTATAGGGTCAAATACTCAAATGGATGAAGAGAAACAACCAACAGTAATGAACAACAAGCACCAATATATAATTTAATAAGATTTAATTATAACAAGACGATACATGAAAACATTAATGCAAGCTAGTATGTGGAAAGATGTTTGCTATACATTTCTGGGTGAAAAGATCTATAAGTTATATATATGATATGAAAAGTCTAAACACACTTAGCTTTAGTTATTCACCTGAAATAAAATAGGTTTTTCTCTTTTCCCTTTTCTCTCTCTCTCTCTCTCTCTTTTGTTTTATGTTTCGTTTTGTCCATACAGCGATATCATTTAATATATTATTCTTTCTTCATTGTTATGAGTTTTGACCAAAGAGTTGGTCATTTACTCACTCTATTGAGTAGCATTTAAACTAGCTCCTGTGGAGGGCTCTTGATTGGACCTTCATCACAATGGCTAGGGAGCTGCAGATGTGATAGGCAACAATAAACTACTGAAGAACTCAAAATTGACCACTGCATTTAAGTTGCATTAATATTTATGCTTACCTTTTTAAAAATTCAATGGTAATTCTTCTGCCACCACTTAATTTAAAGGCAATTTGATGTGCGTAGGTCCTTGCTTTCCATACAAACAATTATTTTTAATTCATGGGTGACTTTTGCTGGATTTCACAGATTTATTCTCAAATTTATTTCCAAGTTATAAAAATTGTTATCATACAGAAGATTTTGTCACAACAAATCACATGAACAAATCACTGAAAACAACCACAGTAATGAAAACTTGGAATCTCAAATTTCAGGATTGCAGGTCCAAATCTGACCAGTAATGTTTTTAATTTGCTCACAATTGGCCTGATACCAAAATGGTATGATATATTGGTCTACTGTCTCAAAGAATAATGTTAAAAAAGTGTGACACACTGACATTCGCATTTATTGCATATATACATAGTACTTAGTGGAAAGTGCTCAGTAGTCATGATAGAGCTAACATATGCAGTTGCATGGATTGTAGTTTGTAACCCCCGGTTTCTTGCTATGTCTGAAAGTCATGAAAGCATGAAACACGGATTTACAAACTACTATCTATCAACTGCGCATATTTTATATATAGTGTCCATAAAGTTCGTGTGCGCTTTAAAAAATTTCTAAGTTTATTTGTATTTACGATAGAAATAATTTTTTAAAAGGATTAGAAAGAAGTAAATTTATATTTTTTAAGGTTTTATTGAAATTTCATTTAAGTTTCTACATGTCCTCCATCATTAGCAATAAAAAGGGTAATACGCTGGGAAAAAGAAAATATTTTTTACTCATCTAAAAATTGTTGCAAATTTTGTGGTAAAGAATTATTCAATAACTATACTTAAAACTAGGTACATTAAACTTTATAACATTTTTTTTACAGATTATTTCTGTCGCAAATACAAATAATTATAAATTTTTTAAAGTGCACACGAACTTTATGGACACCCTGTATTTTTTATATATATATATATATATATATATATATATATATATAATGTATTCAAATTCTCTCCAAATCATTAAAACACTTCCCTTAATTTTTAGGTTCTGATATATAGATGAATTTAATACACCAATAATTCTGAATTATCTCCCTTTTATCTCAATAAGGTTATCTCTTAATATTTTATATAAATTAGGTTTTTCATTTTTTTCATTAATTTCTGTGGATTCTCATTGAATCAAACATTAGTTGTGTGACCATTAAGATGTATATCAACTAGCTGTGTTCCCCATCCCCCTGCCCACTCCTACCTCCATAATAATACATTACTTCCTGTAACTAAGCCTTCTTCTGTCATTTCTTCCTCTCTGTCCCCTCTGATGTGCTCTCTCTCTCTCTCTCTCTCTTTTTCTTTCCCCAACTAACCAGTCCCTTTCTACAAACTGACACCATAAACAGTTTGAAAAATCCTGCAAATTTAAAATTCGCGGGTGAAAATGGTCATTAACTAATAACTATCTTAATTCCAATTGTACAAAAAATTTTTTCTCTGTTTAATGAAAATAAACATTGAGCGCTCTTTGTGAGTTAGTTTTAACATTTTAATATTTCAAATTCTATATTGTGCTAATAGGACTTGCTTGAATTTGTGTGTGTGTGTGTATATATATATATGCACATGTGTGTATATGTATACGTGTCTTTGTGTGTATATATATATATATATATATATATATATATATATATATATATATATATATCTACATACTATGTGTATGTATATATGTATCTACATGTGTGTGTATGTATATATATATATATATATATATATATATATATATATATATATATATACACACGTATGTGTGTGTCTGTGTGTGCTGATTCAAAAGTTTTGCGTGATTTGTTTTTGCAGCTGTCAGTTGATGGTTTGCAATTTGTATTATAATATACAAGAAGGTTCAAATTTTTCCATGCCACTATCCATTATATAACTTGGTTAATGACTTGGAAAGCAGAATCTGTAAACTGAGTTTAAGTTCACTTTGCAACTACCCTTGGGAAAGGTATAAATCCATCTCTTTTTCCCTCCAGCTGTGGATTAAATAGCAGACCAGACTGGCCTTTAGCCTTGGTTGGCTACCAGTCTAGAGTTGTTGACCCAACAAAAACATCCATTTCTCAGTAGCTTGGGCCACTCATGAAGATGTATCAGACTAGAAAAATCCATAATAATTGAAATCCTTAAGTAATGCAAGTCATGCAACACAGAGATAATCATTACTTTTTGTACAAAAAGGCAATAATCAATGAAAGGTAAGTTTGTACGGTATCAAGCTGTTTTACTTGCAATGTCCAGTGTGCGCATGAGACTATGATCAATTCACAATTGCAGCCACTCACTTGATGAGTGGCTTATGCATTTGCAGAGCTTGATATCAATTTCCTCAAAGTTGATGCTGCGACTTCACTTTCTGAATGGTAAATGGCTTTTAATGATAAACAAGATCTTTCATGAGCCCCAATGAAAGAAATCATCTGGAGCTGTGAGGTCTGGAGTGTGCTGACCATTCAATTGGATCACGATGTCCAATCCACTTTACAGGAAAGTTCTCAAGCCATTGATGAACATGACATCCATAATGTGGCAACAAATATTAATAGGACTATCAAGAATCTGGGCACTACTTTTGACATCTGTCTGTGTGTATGTGTGTGCACACACACTCACACAAAACAATCCTTTTCATGCTTGGATGCAATCTTCGGGCTAATAAACTGTGTTTATATATTTACAAAAGGTATAGTATTCACTTTCATATGTTTGGGTTTTATTAGAATTCTAATCTTTGCTTTTTAGAACAATAAACACTACCAAGAGAGTGAAGGTAGTACAAAATAATAGTGGTGTCAAGGGAAAACCATTCTTTTGATTGACACACCATTGACACAAAGGTTTAAATTTGCCAAAAAAAAAAATATTTTAAGCCTTTCATATACACAGGCTCAACAGCTATGAAAAATATTTTAGAAAATTCCATAAAAGTTTCTAAAATCAAAATGTGAAATTTTTTCGTTTACATAGTAAGATGTTGAGCACATGTGAATGGAATGGAATCATGTCTTTTTACCATTGTCAGTTTGTCTGTTTCTCTCACCCCTTTTCTCCCTGGTCTCTCCTCTCTCTCTCTCTCTCTCTCCTTGGTCTCCCTCTCTCTCTCCCTTGGTCTCTCTCCCGCCCTCTCTCTCTCTCCTTGGTCTCCCTCTCTCTCTCTCTCCTCTCTGGTCTCCCTCTCTCTCTCTCTCCTTGGTCTCCCTCTCTCTCTCTCTCCTTGGTCTCCCTCCGCCCTCTCTCCTTGGTCTCCCCGCCCTCTCTCCTTGGTCTCCCTCCCGCCCTCTCCTCCTTGGTCTCCCTCCCGCCCTCTCTCCTTGGTCTCCCTCCCCCCTCTCTCCTTGGTCTCCCTCCCGCCCTCTCCTCTCCTTGGTCCTCCCCCTCTCTCTCCCTTGGTCTCCCTCCCTCCGCCCTCCTCTCTCTCTCCCCTCCCTCCCGCCCTCTCTCTCTCTCCTTGGTCTCCCTCCCTCCCGCCCTCTCTCTCTCTCTCCTTGGTCTCCTCCTCTCCCTCCGCCCTCTCTCTCTCTCCTTGGTCTCCCTCCCTCCCTCCCGCCCTCTCTCTCTCTCTGGTCTCCCTCCCCCCTCCCCTCCCTCTCTCTCTCTCTTGGTCTCCTCCCTCCCCTCCCCCCCCTCTCTCTCTCTCCTTGGTCCCTCCCCCTCCCGCCCTCTCTCTCTCTCCTTGGTCTCCCTCCTCCCGCCCTCTCTCTCTCTCCTTGGTCTCCCTCCCCCCCGCCCTCTCTCTCTCTCTCTCCTTGGTCTCCCTCCCTCTCTCCCGCCCTCTCTCTCTGGTCTTTTTTTCTCTCTCTCTCTCCCTGGTTTCTCGCTCTCTTTCTACCCCCTCCCCATATTTTTAGCTCTCTCCCTCTACCATTCCCATATCTCGCTCTCTTTCCACACCTGTCTCTTGCTTGCTCTCACTCTCCTCCCTGTCTCTTGCACTCACTCTCCTCCCCTTGTTTCTCTCTTCTCCTCCTGTCTTTCTCTTGCTTGCTCCCCTACAACCATCTTTCACTCACTCTCCTCCCTTTCCACTATCTCTTAATCATTTTTTTTTTTTAGCATTGTTTCCTACTTGCAAGCAGATTTTTCTTTCTCCCTCCAAACTTTGGAACAGAAGTTTAAAAACAAAATTTACTATTTATTAATTATCAAACATATATGTATTCTCATGTATGAATAGAGGGGATCAGATTTGGGGGCAGGGGGTGCTTTGAAAGAGATAGACACAGACAATCATCAAAGCATCATTTTTTTAATTTTTTTAAAATTATCTGGTTGAACAAAACTAACTAGCTGGATTAAAAACCTGGTTAAATGAAATTTCCTTATTTATGGATGTGTTTTTTATTATTTTGAAGCACTGTGATTCATTAGGAATTATCCAATATGCTTCATCTGTGTATCATTTTTCTTTTCTCTATGTGTGGTAACAAGCATTTTGTCAGCTTTTTCTAGAAAGTTTAATTTTTAAACATACCAAATTCTTGTATTTGAAGTCCTGAATCTGTATCTGGTCTTATTTAACTTTGTCTAAAATAAAAAAATAAAAAAATAAATATATTTTACTTAAATAATTTGAGCATTTCAATCTTGTGCATATAGTTTCGGTCCAATATATTGAATGTTTTTCTTATAATTGTAAAATTCCTCAAGTATACCATCTTATTCTTAAAAACAATGCAACTTGATATGTAGTTAAAAGTGACTAAGAACATGTCTTTTGTTTGTGATGTTAGCTATCAGCTTTAATTTTCATTACTTTTATTCCATAAGTACTGATTAGAATGATAGAGCACTTAAAAATAGACTCCTTTCAAATGTGTTGTTTGGGCAAAATGCCTGATTAGATCCACTAAAACCCTCCTTATCCATTAACTACTTTTCTTCTTTCTTGGTATCATTTTCTTTTTCTTTTTTCCCCCCAAATGAATCAAAAAATTAGAGACTTCCTGTCATCAGGATTTTATTACATACAACTGTATCCTTGAAATAAAACTAAGAAAAATGCTTGTGCAAATGTTTTTAATGAAATGAATGGATAAAAAGATAATTTCTCGATCAGAATGTGTCATTGGGGATACATTAATGAGGAGAAATGTTTGTTTAATCTCAAAATGATATTTTCTTTCTATGTATTTTTGTGTGATTCTTCTGCTAAAAGTGAATCAGAATAATTTCTTTTGGCAAATTTTCTTTATAAATTGACAGACATAGAACTGGACTGCTTCAATTTATTTTTCCCGCAATTGTTATAATTTTAAAATTAAAAAAATCAAATGCTATATCTCTCCCATCATAATTCTTTCAGACAGTATATGAAATTATATATAGGGTCTATTTGGTCAGCATTTTTAATTTATACAGATTTGGTTAAAAAATAATGAGAATTTTTTTGTTAAGGATTTTTTAATTTATTTTTTTCTACATTTCAGACCATTTTCCTGGTTTATTGTACATCTTTATAATAAATGCTAATGTCAAGTGTGTCACACGTTTTCATTTAAAGGGACACAACTCTCAATATCTCATTTCCTTCTAGATAATAAATGCCAATGTCAGTTTGTCAGCTTTTTTTTTACTACTAGGGGACCATTTTGGAATCAGACCGATTCTGTGAGCAAATTAAAAACTTTTTGTGACATTTTTTTGTATGATAAAATTTTTTATGATTTGGAAATAAATTTGCGAATAATGAAAATTAATTGCAAAATCCAGCAAAAGGTTACCCATGAAATATATGTTTGTATGGAAAAATTGAGTTCATCTGTAGTTTATTGTTGCCTATCGCATCTACTCCTCTCTACTTATTGTGATGGAGGTTCAATCAAGAGCCCTCCACAGGAGCTAGCTTAAATGCCAACTGATAGAGACTCTTTTAAGCTAGTATTTAAATATAAATTGTTCAATGTTAGTAGTTTTGGCTTTCTTATCTCATTATCAAAGAATTGTTTTTTATTTTTTAAAATATTGTCTCAGTGTGTCCTGTTGGGTTTTAAAGTATTCCATGTTGTTGTGCTGTGTAATTTTTTTTAAATTTATGAAACATATTTTGTATGTTTGTTCCTAAATTTGATAACATTTTTTGTTTTTTATGCTTAATGCTTCTAGTTTTTGTAGTTGTTTTTTTGCAGTTTATATCATTTATTATTTTTGTGTTATTGGAAAGGATTTGTTAGATTTATTGTTGTGAAGATGATTTAATTGTACTATTATAAAATAAATGACACATTAACTGATGGGATAATGTAGTGGTTGTGTAGCCAATGTATGTGTTATTTGAATTGTTATTATTAGAGAGACATTCCCAAAGTGGACAAGTGAATTCATATGCAACATTGGCTTATTAAACTTTTTTTTGTAATGTTCCCCCAGCTATGGATAAAGTAGCCGGACAGACTGAGTTCTGTAGCTTTGGTTGGCAATCAGTCTACCACAGAAATTAACAGCAAAAATTCTAGTCTTTGCTTTTTAGAACAATAAACACCACCAAGAGGGTGAAGGTAGTACAAAATAATAGCAGTGTCAAGGGAAAACCGTCCTTTTGATTGAGTACTGCAGGAATTCTTCCAAGTCAGTTATGAATAAAAAATAGACATGATTGCCCAAGCATGCATCATGCAAGCCACATAAGGACAGAAGTGTTGATCATTTTAGATTTTTTTTTATTTTTTGTGATGAGATATATATGAAAATGTAGCAACTTTGAGACTGAAGTAGTAATTTTTTTTTATATGTTCATTAAAATGGAATTGATAAAATTTTAACAAAAACATAAGATTATATAATAAACTTGAGTAATCATTAATTTTATTATAACTAGCAAAGATGATTTTCAGGACTAAATCTCTATATTTTTTATATTCTCTTTTTGAGAGTAAATTTTATTTTGGCCAAGAAAAAGTTAATATTATTTTTTGCAAAGTATTTTAAGATCTTACTATTTGGTGAGGTTGTAATCTAATAAAACTGTTTCAGTGTGTATTGCTTTATATTTATATTTTATCCTATTGCTCAGTCTTGTTCCTTTATGAATATAAAGATAGTTTTTCATTTATCAATAATATTATAATACTAGCAGGACCCATGGAATTTACATGGACTAATTAATAGAATGTTGAGTAAACAATAAATTTTTTCTACATATATGTATGTATAAAAATGAAGCATTGAAGAAGCAATTAAAATCTCTACATATATAATAGAATGAGATACTTAGGTGGCAAATAGTAAAATTGTGTATATTTGTACAGATATATTTACAAATACATAAAGTTTAGCTATTAAATCTATCATTTTTTTAACATATAATACTCATAGGCTGGGAAAATAAGCAACACATAGAGATATTTGGGAGTGTCCACCATGTGTGCAAAGATTGCCAAGGTCAATCAGTCCGTAGTTCTTGCCATTCCCAACACAGAGCTATGCCAGTTTCTTCCGATATGAATACAGAAAACAATAAACCTATATATGTACAAAACTATATAATACATGTCACATATAAATAATTTCTGCTTTTGAAAGATATTCATTTAATATATATATATTTGTATGTATACATATAAAACAAAGACACATACCTAATGCAATCAAGGGTCTCCAGAATTTCTGAAAACACTCCTCTCCAAGTCAGCACCTCTCAGCAAACAATGTTCTTCGTCCACTTTTTTGTCTGTCTCCATCACCTTAACCCCTACATCTGAGAGTTTGCAATCTCTAGAGTATGCCACATACAATTGCCCATGACTGAGGTAAGAAAAATCCCACCTTCTCAAATGTCTGCCCATGTGACTTGTTAATAGTCATGTCATATGACAAACGGACAGGAAACTGGATTCTCTCCAAAGTGTATGGCAAGTTGTCGCTTGGAGCCAGCTTTATTTTCATCCTGGGTATGACGATAAACTGCATCCGCATCCTGGGTAAGACGATAAATTATGTCCAACAGCAAGGCCTCTGATTAGGAGGTTTTGAGGAGCGTGGAACCACCTCTTAATTGCTGGTGTTCCCAGGTCCACCCTGACCTGGCATGGTAGCACCTGTTAGGGTCCCAACTATGGGCAAATAGTTAACCCCGAAACTGAGGTAAAAAGCATTATAAAATATTTGAATATTTTTGAAGGAAAAAACTGTTACCAGCAATACGTTTTTGAAAAAAAAACTATTGCCAGCTATACGTTTTTGAAAAAATAATATTACCAACTATACATTTTTGAGGAAAAAAATATTAACAGAAATAGATTTTTGAGAAAACAAAAATATTACCAGGAAGAAAAAAAAAGTTGTCAACATCAAATGACCCATTGAGGTTGATATGCCGTAAAACAAAACAAACCAAACCAGCTTTATTTTGGGGATGAGGACAAGTCTGCCAATTAGTGAGCTATTAATCAAGGAAGCCTAGGTTGGATGTTGATGCATGTCCACCACTTCTAGTTTTGTACCATTCCAGAATCCATTCTGGATAGAAATATTATGAAGAAGCTAATGAGCCGGGTTTTAAACTCAATTTATGAGGTGGCATTCCTGATGGTGTCAAAGAGTTTAGAAATTCAAATGGGTAGTGCTCAGCCTCAGCAGGATCATCTGTTAAAACTTTATCTGTACTATAAGTGCAGCAGTCACCTGGCAGTTGTCTCAAAGCATCTTAATTGATTAAGAGACAGTCTGACTTCTTTGGCGAAAGAATTACTCAGCTCCTTCTCTCTTCTTCAGATGTATTGTTGAAGATATCATCCACCAGAGAGCTGTCAATGCATGAAATTTGAAGCACTTTTGTGTCCTCAACAGACAGATTAGGGTCTTGTGAAGCTGCTGATTTTTCATTGCCAAGATGCAAGAGCCATGCTGCAAAATCCCTTTGATCTGATATTGTCCTGATGATTTGGCTTAATCTATATTTGATGAAAATCAGCCATAGAGGGGAATTTTTAATACAGATTTCAATGATTGTCTCATGATTTCCTCTTGGCAATATCGGTAGGACTTGTCTAAAGTATCCCCCCAAGAGCACAACTTCACCACCAAAAACAGCAGCAATACCAGTGATATCTCGCAAGGCTTTATCAATAGCATGAAGAACTAATAAAGGGATCATAGAAGACTCATTCAAGATGATCAAATCCAAGTTTTATAAATAATTTGCATGGTCTGAAGTGGCTGGTACATTACAAACGCTGACCTATGTGAATGGAACAGACAATTTGAATAAAGTATGGATAGTCTTTCCACCTGGCAGTTGTGTAGAGGCAATGTCTGTCCAAGGCATTACTGCTCATGTTGCATTCTGTTCCTTCACAGATATGAAATTATAGTATTAAACATAAGTTTTACCACAACCTCCTAGTGCATCTACATAGAAACAAGAGTTCTTGAGCACCTCACCTCTTCTTATCTACAGATTCAAACACAGCATTACCAATCAGTCTCTTTTTATCAGTAAGTGTTGCAATGCTTGGGTGATCGAGGTCTTCATGATGGTCAAACTGCAGTAATCCAGTAGATTCAGGCAGCCCAATTGCTAAACAATTAATACCATTCTCTATAAGAATTGCATCAATTGAGTGAAGTGCCATGTTTTCTGCATGGTCTGCATTAAAACCTTGGTGCAAGAAATCTTCAATCATGGATTCCTTGTGAGTAGCCCACATGTGAAGAGCATTTGCAGGGTTTATATATGTGCACAGGACAGCACAACATAACACGCAACTCTAAGGGCATCCAACAGGCAACAGCTTCTAGCAATGCATGTTCCAGTGTGTCGACATTTAGGTATACTGCCTTAAATGTTGGCAAGATTTCTCTACAGTGTACAAATCCTGGAAGCTCACGGCAACTGAAATATACAGCAGCAATATTCGCAAATGAAATTGTTCTATCTAGGACTCACTGTATACATTCTACTGATGATATTCATATTCCTTTGCCTTGGTGTTTATCTTCTCGAGTGCTTATTAAACCCATAATGCAGCGGAATGTCAGGGTACAAGTGGTTCCTTGCATCAGCATCATCATCATGCTCATTCAGTTTAAACCATGCAGTGATGATAGTGTCATGGTCCCTCTGTGTCTGAGCAGCTTGCTGAGTGTTGCTTCTGTGAAAGTAAACTCTTTGCTGGTCTTCAAGATGTACAGCAAGTCTGTAGACATTGTGGGATATGTCATGTAGCTTGAACTCTGACTGGAGGAGAAACAAGCAAGATAATTAGTAATTTCATTGTGAGCATGATTCTGCTCATGATCTGCTGTTGAGTTGTCCCTCACTTCAACAGAAGCACAGTCATGTCCCTTGTACACATATTTGAAGATATATTTAATGCTTTTCACTGATGAACAAATTTCCACATTAATATGAGTTCTGTACTTTTTCTTCAGGTAGGAATTGTACAGCACAACATTTCTATTGTCAACTGAGTGACATCCAACTTGAACCGTGACTCCAGTATTGTCTTCTGTACTCTGGATAGCCGTTCAAATTCAGAAGTGTTTCATCTCTGTGGTTCTTTAGGAATTTCTTTTGGCATGAGCCATTTTCCATGCAAGGGAAAGAAGGATTATCTGTTCTGCAAGGACCATGTATCATGTATTTTTTTTACTTTATCATGCAAGACTGGATCATCATTGGTATCAGGAATTTCAGTTATTACAATCCTATCTATGTCATCACTGCCTTATACTCTGTTTGTAGAGCCTCATTCTCATGCGAGCAGCTTCCAGTTTTTGTTGCCAGTTCATGATGAATGCACATTATAGACAGATAATGACAAATGCAGTTTATAAGCACAAAAATAAGAACCTTCACTTTTTTTGCAATACCTAAGGTTTAAAATGAATTTTTATAAATAGAAAAGCTTCCTTGAAGCTTTCGTTTTATCTTTAATTGAAAGCTAAAGGATTAAATTTACTATTTCCAGTAAACATAATACTCTGGTGTATTTCAAGTAGAATTTATAGTGATTTGAATTAATTTTTTTGGTCGCTTGTAAAATTGGCCATTTTTTACATATTGATAGATATGTAAACAAAAATTAATTCTCGGTTTTAAAATCTTGAAAAAATATTACTAAAAGTGTGTTCACACAGTGTTGAAAACCATTGATAATAACTAAAATGAGAAAACTAATTTCAAATGTGAATGAAATAAAGTCTAAAAATAATTAAATTAAACATTAGAATTAAATTCAAGGTTTAAAAACAATTCTAACAAATAAAAATTAATAAAAAAGAAAAAGTAAATTAAAAAACATTTTATGAAATAGGAGTTGAATATAAAACTAGTTTGAAAGGAAATTGCAAAATGACATGCAAATTAAAAAGTAAGAACTTCAAGCAGAAATTTAATTAGAAAGATAAGTTAAAGTAAAAATTATTTTTTCTACAAAAATAAAATAGAATAAATACATAAAATAAAAATACTTAGTGAAACAGGAATTCAAAAAAGTAAAACTTACTTTAAAATTTTGAAGGACTGATTTTCAGAAACAGAAATGAATGAACGAATTCCAGTCCCCAAAAATTGAGAGGGTTTTCCCAGTAAGGAAATTCAAGGTTTCAAAACAACTATAAGTTAAAGTAAAAAAAATTTTTTTTTTTCTAGAATTAGGTTCTAATTATAAAGGAGAAGACAGTCCTTAAAACATGTGACCTTTTAACTGTCAATTAGAGGCCACCCTAAAAGATTTTCAGAGGCAAATTTAATTTTTCAAAATTTCATGGACTGTCAGGTTTCTTTGAAAATCGCTGGCATTTGTTGACGGCAAGTTTGAGATGGAGTGGGTGAGAATGTTTCTTTGAAAATCGCTGCCAGTGAGACGCCAAATACAGATCAGTACTGAAGAGTGTAACAGACGGACTAAGTAACTAAGGAAGGAAGAAGCACAATTATATTAAGATATTTAAATTATAAATTGTTACATTGTTGTCAGTTTTTTAAAACCTAATTAGCTAATTAAACCAAATTTACTTACAGTTAAGTCTGCTTTTTCCACATACACAATTTGCCTCATTTAAGTTATAAGTCTATAAAGTATTTGTTGGGTTTGGAATATCATTAATTGATAAAAAGTACAATGTTAAATAGATATTTATTTCCAGTAATGTTAGTTGCTTGATTTGAACCATTAAAAAATGTACCCACACTTCCTCCTATGAAGATTTTTATTTTGAAAGTTATCTCACACTGACAAAGTGCAAACCAACTGTGTGTAATATGAATGTTAATGAAATTAAAAAACAAGTCTTTTACACAATATGGGTAATGTAAAATAGACCCACATTTCCTACCAGCAAGATAATTTTTTGCACATTACCATACCCTGTTGTTGTTAACCCTGTATAATGTTCAGTGAAATATAGGGTCATGGCTTCACTCCAACATTATATGCTGTTGCTATGGTTTCTTGTAACAAGTAGGTTTCTACAGGGTGGAGTTGCTATCCTCATCCCAAACTGATTTTTAATTCAAATAATAAAACTATTGGATGGGTTTGCATGCAATTTGACTCCAGCTATGTCATAGTCATGTTGGATTTATGCGAAATTGTTATTTATTTTAACATACATCTGATAAATATTTATCACTAGGTTTAGAAATTGGGATTACCCTCAAATTTTATTTGCTATGACTCATACTGAGAAAATATTGAAAATGTCTGTGCAATAAGACTACATTTACATGCATGATTTTGGTTGTGTGTGTGTCTATGTAGGAGTAGATATGTTCGTTTATTGTTTGGTTCACACACCTCGCTGTCTTTTAAACAGGAGTAGATGTTTTTTCCTTTATTTCCTGCTTAGGATTGGGTTTCTGGTTCCTTCTGAAGTCTATTCCAGCTCTATACTCTGCACACTTATCATTTCCTATGCTAATATAACACCACACAGTAACGATCTACCTAGAGAGACTCTTGGGCCTTGTACTGGATGAATATTAGTAAAAAAAAAAATATATATATATATATATATATATATGTATTCCCTGACCAACCAGCCAAAATTTGCAAATTCAGATGCACAAAGTGAAAAACTTTCTAGCAAAATATCTAAGTTAGCAAATAAGCACCCATTTGTTTTTAAATATAGAATTTAATTTAGAAATTGTTCTAAATTCTTTTCATATATTCCCATAGGATAAACCTCTATCACTAATAATAGACATTGTTGTTTGTTATTATTTTTCTTTTTTTAATTATTTTTACAGGGTGGTTGTAATTGAGTTGCTGAAAAAAATATCATTAAGGGCGTGTGTTGTAGCAAATAATTTATAGTCAGGCCAATCTTCGCTAAGTACTCCACTACTGTGGCCCTGTACCAGATTGTGCTAAGTACTCCACTACTGTGGCCCTGTACCAGATTGTGCTAAGCACTCCACTACTGTGGCCCTGTACCAGATTGTGCTACTCCACTACTGTGGCCCTGTACCAGATTGTGGCCCTGTACCAGATTGTGCTAAGTACTCCACTACTGTGGCCCTGTACCAGATTGTGCTAAGTACTCCACTACTGTGGCCCTGTACCAGATTGTGCTAAGTACTCCCACTACTGTGGCCCTGTACCAGATTGTGCTAAGTACTCCACTACTGTGGCCCTGTACCAGATTGTGCTAAGTACTCCACTACTGTGGCCCTGTACCAGATTGTGCTAAGTACTCCACTACTGTGGCCCTGTACCAGATTGTGCTAAGTACTCCACTACTGTGGCCCTGTACCAGATTGTGCTATACTCACCATGTGGAATATACTGTGGCCCTGTACCAGATTGTGCTATTCTCACCATGTGGAATATCTTGTAAAATATATATTTTTGTAAACTCTTGAATTATGGTGTGATAAGGCCCTTACAAGACATTGAAAATACAGCATCAAGTTCATTTATTATTGAACATTGTTTTAGATATAATCATTCTTCAAACAGAGGATTATTTATATTTTTGGTGTTGCTGAACTGGTTTCTGTCATTTACTCAAATGCCTGTTTGTCTTAGGTTAATATCCAGGTCAGATCTTTTTTTTTTTTTTTTTTTTTTCTTAATTGAGTGAAAGAACAACAGAATAGCTTCTCCTGCTTTTTCACTAGCATGAGATTTGGATTATAATTTTAAAATTTGGATGCTGAAAAGTTCTCAGCCTAACCAAGAAGTCCTAAGAAAAGAGCTTCTGATGTTTTGGGCAGATTTTAGGAATTGTGTCAGAACTGAGAACTTTTCAGCAATTCCTCATACAATCTCCTTTTGTTGTGAATTATTTTGTAAAAATCTTTTTAAAAATAAATGCACACACATACACAAAATCAATCTGGTCAAGGCTGAATGAAAATATTTCAAAACACCAGGTGCTTGAAGCTATGACAAAGAAAAACAAATGACTCCAAGTATATTTTCTTAACATCAACAACTACTTCTACTATTATTATTATCATTATTATTATTATTATTATTTATGGGTGCAGTGGAATTTTTATTGGTAATCGAATATTAATATAACAAACAGAAAATAGATATTTTCACAATTATTCTCTTTTCACCAATATGAAGAGATTAAACTTTTCTGTGCTTTTGATCAATGCTTGTATGCAATATATTCTATAATATAAAACAGAATTCTTTTTTGGTTATGCATCTGAACTCACATATTTGAGAGATTCTTTTATGACAGTAACACAGAAGGTACCATAAAATTGGTAATGCATTGCATTATATTTATTTTGTTTTGTATTAGCTTTCTTTGAATATTTTTATTTTATTTTAAATAATTTTAAATGCAGAATTATTTTATATTGTGAACTAAGCTGTAACTATAGAGTTAAACGAAAAAGCTAAAAATCCCAGAGTATGTGACTTTTCAACACTACCACACACAGAGATTGAACAAACAAATGCTAAAATTACACCACTGGATTGTCCAAGAGACACGTGGACTAGTACAGTGGTTCTCAAATGGTGTGGTGTGCCATATAGGTGTGGCAGGAGAGGATAGCAAGTGAAGTGGAATGATTGTCTTTCAATCAAAGATTTAGAAACAGTTTCAAAAAATTCATATGCCAGAAATAAATGTTTCCAAAATTTAAAATATTATTATGGATTATTTGTAATTGCATGCATGAATTTCAGTATAAATAATTATAAATAATTATTGACCGATTTTATCATTGTGATATTTTTGCATTATATCAAGTATTAAGAATATAATAACTAGGCTCCGCAAATTGGAGGAGAGAGTTATCAATGATAATGTTCAGACTTTGAATCCACAGTTATCTCCCTTTAACGCCTCTCTTTTTTTTTGGCGGGGGTGGGGGACCACTGGCCTAGTAGATTAAAATGTTGGATAAAATATATCTGGCAGTTGGGAATTCAATCCTTGGGTCTGGTAGTGCTGAAAAGTCATATACTTTGGTTTAGAGAAGAAACAGACCATCAACACACAGTTGAATAAAACTGGTGAATATTAAGTGACAAGTTGTCTGCCCTAAGTATAGGAAGCTAAATGAGAATAGTCTATTCTTGTGGATTGAATAAAGGGTTTGGTTCAAAATTCTAAGAAGGGTACATGAAGAAGGGTGTAGGTACAATGGTTGAAACATTGTAAGTATAACAACCAACGTAAGCATGTTGATCCGAATAATAAGTGATATATTAATTATAATTCCTTGTTTAAAAATCTGACATAAATTACCTTTTTGAAATTTGGGGCTATTAGAAATTGTTAAAAACCTGTCTAATAACTTACTGTGCCAAAGAACTACCAATAGTTATTAAAAACAAAATAAGTTTAATTCACTTGATTGTTTTTTGTTCATTTACCAGTTGCCTGCATTTTTTTCTCCATTCTTGAACTTCCAAGTAACCATCCCTACAGATAGCCCTTATTTACATAAGAATCATAATCAACAACACAATTGACAGCTGCTGTCATACCTACTGAATAACAGGCTTTTCAGTTTTAGTCATTGTGCATTTTTCCCCACTTCTTGAACTGATCATTTTCTTGACATTGCTTCCCTGTCAACCTGAATGCCTGAACTTTTCCAGTCTTGTTGTTATCTGAACTCAGCCATTGCTTTATTTAAAAAATAAAGTAAACACACACACACACACACACAGTACTGTTCTTAAAAATAAAGTCTGGGTCAAAAATCAGTACAGCGTTTCATTCCATTTGAGATCAGCAGGTATAACTAAACAGGCAGATTAGATTTTAAAGATTTTCTTTTTAACTGTAACTGGTTACTTGGGGAGGGTTGAGACCAGAGTGATTCATTCTGTAGGTGAATGCTTTTTTTTTTTTTTTTTCTTTTACAGTAAGGTTCACTCTGTACAAGGCCTTGGAGGCACACAAGGTAGAGGATTACATTAGGAGGCAGTTTGTATGGATAGGAGAGAAACGTAACAGTTAACCCTAGACTTGAACAAGTTAAGATTGTGGTGATCAGGGATACATCCTCTTGGGAGTTGATTCCACAGAGAAGCTGTTCGAGTACTTCTCACTGATAGAATACAGAAGGAATGTGTGTGGTTTGCTACAATGTAAGTGGCATGGTGGGTCCTTCCTATAAAAGTTAGATCTGGCAGAACCAAAGAATGTAGTTTCTCTGAGCACTTTCCATGAGAGGCTTGTCACATCCCGCCTGTAAGAGAGAGAGAGTTGGAGGGTGGAAAATAATTTGTCACCCACAAGGACTCTGAGATGCTTTTGGACTCCATCAAGAGTGGAAAGAGCTTACAATCATTTTTGAATTTCTGTTTAATTCCTTTTTTTTTTTTTTGCTGTCAGTTGTGAGTGTTGGAATTTTATAAAACATGAATATAAACTTATCTCTTTATCTCAATTTCTCTGGAGAATGTCCAAATATTCATTAAATTGAATAAGAAAGCTAGAATGGGCACAAGTATTGTAGACAAACTCAAAGAAGGGAAAATCTAAGCTGATGGATTTATTCAAACTAGTGTCAGCTTTGTGCTCATGAATTTTCAAGTATGTATCACTACAAATAGCCTTTAATGCTTTATGAACGGAACATTTGATTTCAATCACTGAAGAAAAGCTAAATCAATGTACTAAAAGAAATAATGGTGAGTAAATTAGTCCAAATGAATATAATAATAACTAACCAAATCCCTGTTTTACAAACATTTCTCTTGATAATAATTTAAGGAAAATAATGCAGCAGATGATGTTAAATTTATTTATGATAACTGGATTTTTAGCAATTACCTTGGTTTCTATCATTTGGTACTGTACATCTGAAAAATGATGTTTTATCATAGCTGCCATTTGTCCTTTTGGTTAAGATCATAGTGTAGTATCTGTTCTTTATCAGCTTGATCTTTTTTTCACTGAAACCAAATAGTGTCTTTCCCGCCTTTCCACACAATGAAAACAGAATAGTTCATTATTTATGAGGTATTGAACAGCCATGCGAACTAATGAAAGGAGAGACAGGTACAATTATAATAGAATGATGATGATGATGATAATGCCCTGATGCTACTACGCCAGGCATAATTCTTATGACTTCTGATTTTAATTGATTGGAGGTGTTAACATGTACATGTCTTGGTGAATTAAAATAAGCTGAAGTCAATATCCAATTCAGTACCACAGATTTGGTTGTCATTTGCCTAACTGTAACAAGTTGAGTATGTACTCTATGGACTGATACACCAGTCATCTCTGTTCATGTGCAGAAGTAGTGAGGGAGCATTATGGTTGGCTGTTGAAAAAACTTTTTTTTTTTTCTTAAGTTTAAAAGATGAGGCAGCCAAGGCAACCTGGCTGTCACATCTAGATACTTGAGAACACACTCATTCCAAGACTGAGTGGACTGTATTATAAATGACCAAAACTAGCATGAAAATTAAGTTCTGCTCTCCAGTATTAAGGTTGACTTAGTAGTACCACAGTAGGTGATACCTAATGTATATTATAAAAGAATTGATTCTCTGTCTGTCACACACTCTCCATCCATTACGTATTCTGTGTGTACCTTTGTTTGCATGTATATAATATACTAGCAGGCTTTGCCTAGTAAGATATATTCACTACTTGAAATCTTTGAAACAAAAATTTTAAATGAATATTTCATTCATAAATTGACTTGTTATAGTTAAGGAAAGTTTTACAAATAGATGCCAACTTGTTGAAGGCCAAGTAAAATGCAAATTTCAAACACTTATCTGCACTATATAAGACAATACTCTTAAACAGAACTATTTTTTTTATATGAAAATCAAAACAATCCTCGAATAAAAGAACAGTAATGAAGGAAATAAACTTTTTTAAAATCAATATGCAAATTAGTTAAACCTGAAGGGTGATATTGCCTAGAAGTATATAATACAGATATTGAAATTTTACTGTGTAAATTACTCTCTTGAGTAGATTGTAACATATTATTTATCATCTCTCAGTTGTGTCTCTGTCTTTGGGCAGAGTGCACTCAGGGGCAGCTCTGTTAAAGGACAGTCACAACTGAGGAAAATTATACTGAGAGGTACCCAGCCCTGGGGAACAGTTGCCCAAGGCTGCACCCTCTCTTTGCACTAGAGAGAGAGAGAGATCAGTGCTTGCACCAAGGCCAGTGCAACCAATGGTTGCAGGGGCTTGGGCAATTTTTGTTCCTAGCCTGGGTGTAGTGCTCTGGCTCCTCACATTAAACCGACCGTGTGTCACAACCTGACCTCATGGGGGTTGAGTAAATACCAGATTACTATAAAGTAGAGCTGGGGCTTTTCAATATTGGGATTTGTGGGAGACTTGAGCTCCAATTTCACATTTATTCATACAGAATCCATAATATAGGTCTTACTTAATTAACTATTATGTTTCTCTAACTCTTCAAATGTTGAATGTATAACTAATTCTAATTTCTATTTTCCCATCTTTACACTATATTAATTTTATCTTAAAAATTGTTCCCTGTTCTGTCACCCATGAAATAAAAATAATTGTTTGTACGGAAAATAAGGATCTATGTACATCAAATAGTCTTTAAATTAAGTGGCAGCAGAAGAATTATCACTGAACTTTTAAAAGGTAAGCTTACATGTTAATTCAATACTTAAATGCAGTGATCAATTTTGAGTTCTTCTGTAGTTTATTGATGCCTATTGCATCTACTACTCCTTTGCTATTGTGATGATGGCCAAACCAAGAGTCCTACACAGGAGCTAGCTTAAATGCTGGCTGATAGGGTGGCTTTTAAGCTATTTATAATAAAATGTGCACTGCAATTTTGGATACAAAAGGAAAATAAGTTACTCTCCTTGAACCATGAAAGCAATGATAATGGCTAATATGATATATTAATATATATTTTTAATCTCGTATAATCTGGCAACCCTGAATCTGAGCTCAATGAAAATCGTTCCTTGCACCTAACTTTTCTAGGGCTTTTGAATGAGCTATAAATCATTAAAATTGGACCAATTAGAGTGGAGGTGTTGCTTGGTCACACACATGCACAAACACACATACACTGTACTTTATATATAAGATATATTTATGCCTGTGTTGTGCATGGATGATTTATATGTATTTGTGCTATTTTATATATACCCATGCACACACGATTTGCCTGATTTTGAAATAAAACATTGGAATAATACATCTCCTACCACACTCAGTCAAGACAACTCCTATTGTGTGCTGAGCATAAAATCCATCTTGCAGAATAGAAAGAAATGAACATTTCCCTTTGTGTCTGGCAACAACCACTGAGTAAGAGGAAAAGTGTATAATCTGAAATGCGTGGCACTCTTAAGTCACTTTTACAGCTCCTTCTGTATTTAAACTGAATATATTTTCTAATAAATGTAGTATTTTAAATGATAAACAATTTAGGTTTGAAATTTAATCATCTTGCCATCAGCAAAGTGGTGTCTATTGAAACTAGTTTAAACTGATAGTCAAGCAGATTCTCTCTTGGTTTATATAAGAAAATCATAGAGCTGTTTAAAAACAAATGTTAAAATCCTTGGAAGAAGACAATCTGTTCAAAATTAGAAAATAAATTTATAATCTGTAAGATGTCTGCCAATAAAGTTAATGAAATAGAAAAATAACAAAGGGACTTGAAAAGGTAATACAAAATGTATTCATTTATATCTTTGCTTTACAACCACTGAACAGTTTATTCCTAGAAGCCTGAATTTGTAAACATTCAACAGATTCTTTTCACACCTTTTTACCAGACAGATGTTGTGTCTCTATTCTTGTTTGTGTAAGTGTGCACAAAAGCTAGAATGACCTACTACACATTCACAATGAAATGAAGAATGCCATGGTGAGACATGAAGACTCAAATCCTGTTTTCAATATATTTTGTTATTTCAGGTATATTCTTGCATAATCTGTTTAGGTAGGTAGGTAGGTGACACTTGAGGACAATTTCAGACATCTCAGATTTTCCTCTTCAACCAGTAAAAAATTGGACTTTCTCTTACCAACATCATTACACCACAAATAGCTGACAACTCTATATCAAGAGTCAGTCTGTCTCCATCAATGGGCAGTCCAACACCACTCTCAGTCTCAAATTAATGTAGGCCTGTAAACAGAAATCTTCCACATTCAGTTTGTTGTCATTTTATCCTAAAAAATTTATTTTATTTTATTTGTTTAAGTGGGTGGCTGCTTTTGAAGATCCTGTTTCACAGATTTTACTGCTGGTCATAGAACATGAAATACTTAAGAAAATCACTCATCATCCTTTTTATGTGGGTGTCCTAATTATCATGCTACCAATGATTGCAAAGGGAAAATTTTTAAAACCTTAACAGCACTATTCAGTTTCTTCTCTGATCAGGCAATCCATCAAGATAGCCTCTAATCAATTTAATTGTTTTCAAAGGGTAGGTGAAGTAAACTTCTGGGTTTCTTGTTACAATGTTTCATAGTCCATTTCTTTTTTCTATGTTTTTCAGCTGTTGAAAATGTTGCTGCTGAACTTAATAGTGGAATCTGTTATTACATCAGTGGAAATAACAAAACCCACATCAATGCTATTAACCTGGATCAAGTTCTGGAGAAGGACCAACAGCAAGGAAGTGTTTCTATACCACAAAGCTTTAGAGGTAAGCACCTCCATAACAGTTTCATGTAAGGTGGGAGAGTAGTACACAAATATATACATATAAAGTGACCCTTGACTAATACATGTAATTAGTACACTAATTTTATCATAATCATATACTTCCTGTAAATTTATTTATTTTTTTTAAGCACTTCACCCCAAGCAAGGTGGGATGCCACTAGCCCGCAAGGGTTTACAAAGAATGGGAGTGAGAGTAAAGAGGCATGAATGAGGAAAGGATAGAGAGAAGGACAGGGAATAGATCAAGGCATCTGGAGATGTTGATTGACATTACATTTGAATAGTTGGAGATTACAGCTCTCAGAGAAGCAAGTAATAGGAAGGGAATTCCACAGACAGGAGGTGCGAGACATGAAGCTATTGGCATGGGAGAAAAGGCTACATTTAACAGTTTCAACAGTGAAAGGGTGGGATGGAGATGTCAGCCTAGTTGCACGTTTAAATTAATGCAGTCTGGGAACTAGCAAAAGTAGCTTGTCGGAGCAGTTACCATGAAAGTATTTGTAGAAAAGACAGAGGGAGGTGACAACACATCTATGAGAGAGCGACTGTAGATGAGATGCCAGATTGGGGCCAATTACACTGCATATCCGTCTCTGCATTTTATTGAGGACCTTAAGACAAACAGCAGGGGTACCAGACCATATATGGCAGCAGTATCCCATGCAAGGGTGAATGGTTGATTTATAGATTTGAAGTATGGACTCTGGTGAGAAAAACTTTCTAGTGCAACACAGGGAACCACCATTCCTTGCGGTGAATGAAGCTATTGATTCAATGTATTTGTTCCATCTCAGGTCAGCGGACAGTATGAGACCAAGCAGTCGCAGAGAGGTGCTCTCATGGAGTTGAGAGTTGTTGTAAGATGTAGTGCTTTCATAAAACTATATTGGAGCCAATTTTAGAGTAACGTTAATTAAAACTGATTAAACAAATTTTATTAAATCAGGGACCATATAAAGCAAAATAGCATTGAATGATTACTGTATGCACAGACAATTCAGTTACTCAAATCATACCTGATCCCAAGGGTTATCATGAGGGCTTTGTTGGGAAACATACAGGGTATCCCCACAAAATTGACATCATTTTATAGCTTAATAAGATAGCCAATTCTTGCTTGAATTTTAACAAAATGTGTAAAAACTCACTCCATTGTACAGACTTATTTCAATTAGAATCTACCAGGAAGATGGATCAGGTGTGCAAATGATAATGACAATGTGCTGATGAAATGGCCACCACATTCACCTGACTTGACACCTTATGATTTTTTTTCTATGGGGCTATGTGAAATGACAGCTTTATATCCTCCTTCTTTCTACAAGCCTAGAAGAACTTAAGCAGAAAATCACTGAGGCACTGAAGAATGTTACGCAAGACAGTGCTTGACAGGAGTTGAACTATCAACTTGACATGTGTCAGATTACAGGGGGTGCACATATTGAACATTAGTGAAGCATTGTGAAATCAGTTACAAAATCTACATCCCTTTGAATATCATGTTCAAATTTTTAATAAATCTTTTATTGTTCTACATGAAGCCTATTTTAATTTTGTTTACCTGGGACATGTAGTCACTCAGATACTCACATTTTAGATGATGTCAATTTTGGGGGGACGCCCTGTATTTATGTTTTATGGGAACATTTTATTGTCAGCACTCATAACTTACATTTAAAAAGACAGCTCATATTACGACACCATTTGAATTTACTCCTTTAAAGCACAGAAAACTATGAAACAGAAGAGTGCTCTTGAGATGACTGGACAAATTCTAAGCAATTTTTTAATATACCTTTAAAATCAGACACTTATACTCATCTTGGTTGTTATGCTTATGATGTTTCAATTGTCATGACCTCTAGCCTTCTTCAGGTATATTGTAGTTGGAATTTTGAATTGTTTTCAAAATTCAAAGTTTACCAAGTATGATGGTCATCTGTAGGAGGCCAGAGAATACAATGAACAAAAGATTGTGAGTATACCATTCAATCTGAGTATACAAGTTTGAATATAACAACATAAAATAATGAAAGACAAAAATAGTATGTTGCATTTTTTGTTGGCTGTTTGTATGTTTCTAGACTTCTATTCTTTTCATCAACCAAAGATTTACATTGATTTAATATTATTATTGTTATTATGATAATATTAATGATAATAATGTAGAAAATGGATCATAACTGCCATATCTGGGCTGAAGCTGCCCAGTCCTCACTTGCTTGTCCTGGTAGTTCAAAAGTGCCTACATGGACTTGTGGGGGATGAATTATTTTCCACCCTTAAAACCCTTTTTCCTCAGATGAAATGTGGTGAGCCTCTTGCTGCTGTATTGCTATTTCCATGGCATTTGATCTGACAAGCTCCATTCCTTAGTCTCATCACTCCTGAACTTTACAACTGGGACCATTCTCTTTATATTCCAATACTAAGAAGTAAGTTCCATTCAGACAGCTTCTTTGTTTTTTTTTTTTGTTTTTTTTTTTTCATATGAATTCATAACCTCATTATTGAATCAACAGAGACTTTCTCTTAGCTTTTTTTATGACTTCATGCCATCTTTTTAGGTGAACTGCCATCGGTAGTTTTGATTTAATGAATTCTTATAGGAATTTTAAAAATATTTTGAACTTGTTAGACTCACTGCCCAGACAAGAAGGGTGGCAGGATGTGAAACCAGTAGTCATCTGGAGAATACTTTGTGTATGGAAGAACATCTCATTCCAGCTTCATGATGCAACATAAGGATAAACACAGTTATATGGCAGAAGCAAGTCATTTTCCTTGTTCAGAATCATGTCTTGCTCTCTTAATGCATCATTCAAATGAGCTTAATTGCAGTAAAAATTTGTTCAAATTCCTGTCATTTGTAATAAAGAACCCAAACACAGGACAACTTTACAGACCCTGTTTTGGTTGAGATGTAGGCTGTTTTGAATACCATGATGATTTTCAAATTATCATTACAAATATCTTGTTTTCCGTGCCAGTGACTACCTTGTTTTATAATGAGTTTTTCTTGTGTTGAACAGAAAAAAGACAATCGAGTTAAAATGTTAGCTACTGTTGTTTATCAGTAAAATCATATGGAATCCATTTTCAAAATTTTCCCAAGATTTGTAGGTGATAATTATTTTTCTGTAAGTTTCCATTTTGTTTATCTTATATCTTCCTTCAGAAGTTTCTCTAATTTATCAGTTATCAAGGTTCACAGTTTTTCAAAGTATTCTTTTTTATGAAAGAAGAAGTACCTTTTACAAGTTTAGTTGAACTGTATTTTGAGAATTATTGTTATGGTCATTTTGTATCAACACTGGTTGAATCTATATAAAAATAGCCATTATGTGACTATCATTTTCTTGAAAGTAGATTTAAAAGACCAAAAACTAAAAAAAAAAAATAGAATTATTAATATCTGAACATTATATTCTGTGGTTAAAAGTTGTTTTTTTTTTTTTTTTTTTTAATAAAGATTTTGAGTTATGTCATGGAAATTATATTTTGTATTTTTTTTTTTTTTTTTAATTTGGTTTATAAATGCTTTGTTAAATTTTTGCAGATAAGTTGATGTTTATATACACATCTGGAACCACAGGTCTTCCTAAAGCTGCTGTAATAACCCATACTAGGTTTGTAATATTTGCTATTTTATCCTCTTCCAATTACCAGGTTATAATAGGAAAGTCTTACGACGCTTTCATTTATTTTTCACCATTTCTAATCCATCCATCAACTTCTCTTGCAACACTATTCCCTCTTGTGTAATGTATGGTTAAGATTTTTTTTTTTGTTGATTTTAGACTGGTCTTACCTTCGGATCAATGCATGTGCACACACACACACACACACACTTGCTTTGCATTTACTTACACACAGACACACACACAGTTACTTTGCATTTACTTGTACAGGATTCAATGCATCATTTAGAACTCAGTAACTTTCTTAATGCTGATTCCTTTGGAACCGGAAATCCATTTTTTATTCTTTCTTATATTATCCAAATATAACAAAGATTGTTTTATTGAAAGGTAATTTCTTTAGATTGGTCCAGTCATTTCCTTGTTGGCTGTTATTTATAAGACTTATAATGCTCTTTCTCAGTTGATTCAGAGTTCACAGCCAACCTGGGAAATCAGAGACTTATCAGGAAATTGAAAAAATAGTCCCTTTTTTAAGAAAAACAAGAAAATTTTGGTTTTAATGTAAGGGAATTTTCTAATGCAATTGAACATGAATTGAATGACATGTTTATTATATGCATTTTTTAGATTAGAAATTATTTAAAAATAAATGTTATGTGTGTTATGGAGTAGTTTCACAGTGGAATCTTGTATATGTACTAACTTGGTCCTAAAATAGGTTCGACGTACAAAACGTTAGGAACTTGATAAAGTAGGTATAACGCAGAGTAAATCTAGTTGTGGTCTCTGATAGTTTAGTATTCGACTGTCGTCCAGCATTGACTGACTGACCAACTCACTGAGCGACTCAGGGACTGACTTGTTACTCTTACTACTCCTACTTATTATAGGTGGGAGAGTCTATTAACTATAGAATAGGTGTGTTCCACTATAATGTGATATATATTTTTTCTTGGCCTAATAAAATTTAAATAAAAATGTTTTTCTTTGCCCATTCATCTTTTTAGTTGTATTCTGACACAACTAAATACTTACTCATGTCTGTTATGCAATATCCCAAAATCAAGGAATTATTGGGGGATCAGTCATTAGGTTAGAAGCCCTATGTATTTATTTTAGCCTTCCCTACATAAAAATAAGATTTTTTTTTAAAATCACTTCAAGCAAGACAATAATACCACTAAGTTACAAGAGGCTGCTAGGAGCAAAAGAGAATAAGACTTTAGAAGGAACCGGAATCCCAATCCTAAACAGGAAACAAGGGATAATCCTGTGCTTCTGTTCAAAATATACTGGGGAGGCAATTTTCTTAACTAAGAAACTAATTTGTGGGACAGCAATAATAAAAATTTAGATGTAAACATTTATTTATTGCAAAAGAGATTTCATTTTTCTTTATGGAAACTAAAATATAATTGGATTTATATTGTTTGCTTGGCAATTCATGAATGAACTTTTACTGTATTATTTCTATAGTTACATGAAAGTCATTATTTACTTCAAAAAGTTACATTAAATATGTGAGCTAACCATTGGTTTATAGTCATTGTAGGCATAATGTAAGTACTACTATAATGAACATATTATTCAAAATACTTTATTTTAAACAATTTACATTTGGACTATTATCCTCATCTTTGTTATTGTCATCACAATGTTTCAGCCATTGTGCCATCTGGCCTTCATCAGGTATATATCAATCTGGGTAAACTATGGGGAATTCCAAACTGAAGCCTTTATTTAATCTATGGGGGTTGACTGTTCTCGTTCCTGTACCCATGTCTAGGGATATCTCGTTTAGTTCTTATTTTTACTACTGCTCAGGTATTGCTTGGCCCATTGAACTCACAATTACGGTGTCACCAAATTCACAAACCAACACTTTAATCCACTAGGCTATTGTATCTGTGGAGAACTTGGCGACTTAAACCTAACCTGACTACCGATGAATGCTGCTGCTTGTCTGCACTCACTGAAGCTTTTTCTCTGTTGCTACAGCTTTTACTGAAGACTTGCTGTCTTTTGTTTTTGTTTTTTTTTATTAGTTGCTGTCATATTGTATTTATTTCTAATCTAGGTCTATTAAGAAGGTCCTCATAGCCTAGCATATGTGCTGATTCTTTCAGATGCCTCACTCTCCAGTGTTCTTCCTCGTTCAATATTTACACTTCATTCCACAGGGCCTGATGGCTACTTGTTTCCCTCTATACATGATCAGCCATGCCTGATTTCATTTTCTCACTATAGCTTTTTGATATTTCTTTCAAAAGAAACTTGATTTCTTTTTATTTGCCATCTTGCTGTAAATTTGAATCTTACCTTCATGTTCTGTTTTCTCTACTGATTTATTTATTAAGTGATTTGTGAATGAGAAAATGAATTGGAATTTGTGATAATTATTTAAGACTAACAGCTAATTAAAGAGGGAAAAATTTGCTTTTACATCCAGAACTTTCTGAACGTTTTAAAAATCTTTTACTTAAGCATGAATTCAAAAAATATTAATATTAAAAATATATGAAGGTTATACATTAAAAAATATTGTATCTCTTGTAACATATCTTTTTGGTAAATTTAGTCATACTGTGTTAAGCCATAAATATTTATTTTTGTCAATGAAATATGCAATGAAAGTAGGCAGCTGTCACTAGGTGCACTAACACATAACACACACAAACAAAATAATGAAAAAATACACTATCAAATGAAAAGTAATAACACATTGAAAATTGTCAGCATGTGGTAGCATTCATTTTAAGCAGGGCCCAAGGATTCAAGTTGTTTGTCCTAGAACAAACACATCATCCTGAGGGTAACAGTTCAAACAAGTAGTACCTAGGTTGTGTGGTGTATTTTATATTTTCTGCCCTGCTGTGACAATGAGAATTAGAAATGTTTTCCAAGGATGGCAGCAAGAAGTAGTCAATTAATTTCTGGTCAACATCTATAATCCTTTGAATTGTTCTCTTGTCTGCTGCCAAGCAGCTAGCATACCAAACAGTGATGCAATATGCTAGCACACTCTCAATAGAGTATAAGGTCATCAGCAGCTCCTTTTGTAGATTATTTTTTCTTAGAATTCTCAGTAAATAGAGAGTAAATTTTATCCACCCTCTCCAGACAAACCCTGCTGATAACCAAAAAGATATTTGCTGGCACATTTCTTCGAAGGTCCGCTACTAACTCATTTGTCTTTAAGGTGTCTAAAGCAAGGATATTCTCCAAGCCCCATGCAGCCAGTCTTTTTAATGACAAAAAGGTAGTTTTTTTTCTAATGTAAAATCTTAAGTTATCTCGTTTTAAAAAAGACCTAGTTGTACATTCTAAGGTAAACTAATTTTTATGTTTATATGTAAACTATATTTTATGTTCATCGTTGCATTATTTTCAATTGTTTTGTATCCGTAAAAACAAAAATTCAATTGAATTTTTGTTAAGATGTATAACATTATAATTTTAAATGAAAAAAAAATCAAACAATATATAAACTGTATCTGCAGTATAACATGGTTGAGAAAAGATCTACAGTATGACATTTATAATGTCAACAGAACTATAAGTTACCATTAACATGGCTTTCAGTCCAAATGTAGCTGCATTAGTCAATTGTTGGAATGTTTCAAAGACTGGATTATGATAACTGTATGGAAACTGATTTGGTCTACTTAGAATTTGCCAAAGCTTTTGATACAGTGCTTCAAAGAGCTCTGTTTAAGTTGAAACAAGTGAGTATTCATGGAAAAGTTTTAAGTTGGATAAAATCCTTTCACGTTTCACAAAGATAGTAGTTCTGCAAGATGGTTTAGCTTCTTGGCAGAAAGTCATTATAGATGTCACACAAGGATCCATTTTGGGGGCTCAATCCTATTCTTGATCTATATAAACAACATCACTGATCTTATCAAATTCACTGCTAAATTATTTGCTAATGACACTAAACTATATCATTGCATCAGTGTCATAGAAGACGGCTCATTACTTCAAAATGATTTAAATTCACTTTCATCTTGGAGTTTGTTATGGCATCTAAAATTCAGTTGGGGGAAAGTGAATTGTAATGAAGCTCATAGACAACTTGAAATACATGTACACACTAGATGGAGTTTATCAAGTAAAAGAACAAAGATTTAGATATTCAAGTTTCACTTGATTTATCTCTAAGATCACATGTTTCTGAAATCATAAAGAAGGCTAATTAAAGGATAGAGAGAATTAAACTGAAAATGGTAAAAACCCTTTATACTGCATTTATTCAACTAGTACTCAAATATGGTGCTGTTATCTAGAGTCCAAACTATAAAAGAGAAATTGACTTATTGCAATCTGCCCAAGACAGGTGCTTCCACCTAGCTACAGGTGAAATTAAGCTACCATCCCTTCAGTCAAAATATCAATTCACCAATCTGTGTGAGGTATACAAAATATTGAATGGCTATTATAAATTGATGAAACAGCAATTGGAAACATTTGTAAGATCCAACTTCTTTGCCCTCAGGATGATAGACAGGTGAAACTCTTTACCTAGTGATGTTGTGAGCACACCAACACTGGCTATTTTCAAGAAGAAACTGAGGATCCTGCTCAAATGAGATGACTGACCAATGACTAATTATCAATTCTAATTCATGGTTGAGAATAGAAGAGAGAGGTAGATTGTTGTTAGATATTTCTGATTAAATTATATTTTGGTTCAAGATCTATGAGTGCTCAAATCTTGACTTTGTTAGATTTACACATTCTGAGGAATCAGTTTTGTGAATAGATGAATATTAAACTGATACCCTTATCCTGTTCCTTATATTTTTGTAATAAATTGATTGCTTCTTTTTATATAGATTAGGTCATTCAAGGTGAAAATTGCACATATGTTATAATAACTGATACACTCAACAAAGTAGTCACCTTAAGATACTTATCTTCCTCTGTAAATTTAATCACAAAGTCTCTGAAGATCAAATTAAAAAAAAATCCCTGTTACTTCTGACTTTAAGAAGCTGAAGTTTTTTCATTCGGTGCTAGAAACTGCTACTATTTGTCCATTTTATTTTTGTGATAAAAAAAGAAAACCTCACAATCACTTGGTTCACTGAGACAAATTCAGTAGGTGTGGTCACTTTAATCTTAATTCTAGAAAAAGTTTACTGTTGACCTAGAAAAAAGTTTCAAAGTGGATTACAATTTATATTATCACTATTCTTAATGTGATCAGATTGTAATATTTCCCTTTGTAATATAAAAACTTTTCATTTTAAAACTTATTAAAGAGTGATTGATTTAAGTTTTAGAAAATAATGTAGATGAATTAAGTATAATATACAACTATTTATCATTAATGTAAACTGTGTGTTTAATTGATATCGGAAGCATTTTCTACTGCTTTAATTCTGTTTTGAACTTGTGCAATAAAATTGCATGGATTTGATAAAATAAGCAATGAAAATAAAACTGTTATCATGAATCAGTAGAGAGATTCAGGTTTTGTTCACAATTAATTTACATAGCAAACCTATTAACATATTTTATAAATTTAATTTAAAAAAAAAATGAATATTTGTGATCTGAAGTAATTAATCTATTGTAATATAAAAGAATTTGAGGGGAAAAAAATGAATATTTCTGGTCATAGTGCTTACAATTCTACCAAGAAGGCAATGGGGAAACCATTCCACTATAATTCTCAAGAATGTCCTTTCTGAGTATGACAATAAATTACATCCAGCAGCAAGGCCTCTAATTAGGAGGATTTGAGGAACAAGGAATCACCTCTTAATTGCTGTTTTTCCCAGGTCCATCCTAACCTAGGGCTGTAGCACCTATTAGGATCCCAACTAAGAGAAAATGGTTAATCCTCAAACTGAGGTCAAAACAATATGAAAATATAAAAATGCAGTGGCACCACAAACTATGGTAATAAGTATTTTTGGATTGTATCTTGGGTTGTGCATTTAACAATGTTTACTGTAAATTTTAAACTTAATAACTCAAAAATGAAGGATTTGCAGACATATGTTTATATCAACTTTTGTCCTTGTTAAGTCCGTAAAAGTATTTTTGATAGGCCCTATATATATATATATAATCTCAGTAAGGGAAATTTGTTTCTTTTGTAATGCCAGTTCGTAGGAGAGACTTTGTAACTCATACTTATTATAAAACCCAGGTTGTGTGTATGTGTCTGTACGTTTATATATTGGATTGGATTTCCTACATTTTTCAACCGATTTCAACAAAACTTCACAGGACTACATAAAATTACCTTGCGGTGGTTCTGACAGCGCCAAAAATTGGAAAAGCACAATTGTTTTTACACAAAATCAATTTGAGATCACAATTAAGTTGCCAGAATGAAAGGGGGACAACTCATATCGAGTTTTACTTATAAAACTCAGGTTGTTTGTGTGTCTGTTCGTTTATATATGGGATCAGATTTCCTACATTTTTCAACCGATTTCAACAAAACTTCACTTTTTTTTGGCAGGTAATGTTTCTTATTGTCTTGCACACTTTTTTCTTTATTTTTACATTCAGAATGCTTTAAAAATTCCATTTATAAGACAATTGTTTATAATAAAATTCTATTCAATCGGTAGACTCATAATGAATGAAAACAATGTTTTTGTTTGAGTTTGGGTTTGACCAATTTGTAAAAAAAAAAAAAAAAAAAAAACCAAAAAAAAAAAAACTAATTAAGACATGTGTGTCTGTCAACCTTAAACAATAATCTTTGTCAATTTTATTTTTCAGTCTTTATGAAGGTCGATACTCGTTCTATCTCTTACTGTTACATCCCCGGGCAACGCCGGGCTCTACTGCTAGTCACAGATACAATAATAGTAACACCTTTGAACAATACGCGGTCAGACACCACTAATTCCCATATATATATTTTTCCTTTACCCGTCACATGATCTCATTATTTCAGGATTAGGTTAACTGTGCTTGCTCTCTGGTGATCCGTGTTCAAACCCAAGTGTTGGCAGCAACACTTTATTCCTATATGACAGTTTCCCCCCTCGAATTTGAATATTTCAATTTGATATTTTTTTTTAATACTATTTCAGGTATTTTTTCATGGCCTATGGAATAAAGTGTTTCCTGCAAGTGCGGGACAATGATATCCTCTACAACACCCTCCCTCTGTATCACTCAGCAGGTGGAATTCTTGGAATTGGTCAAACATTGCTTGGGGGATCAACGTGTGTAATACGTAAGAAATTTTCCGCAAGCCGATTTTGGGATGACTGTGTTGAGTACAATTGCACGGTTAGTCTTTTATCATGTCTCTGTATATTGAAATTCACTCAAGCATATATGTCAGATTAATATTTTTCTACTTGATTTTATTTATATGGAAATGTTCCTTAAAACATTGAAATATCAATTCAATGAAAAATGTTCATATATACAACAGTTTTACATTGTTTTATAAAGATGAAACTGTTCAGTATAAAATTAAAAACCCAAACTTTTTATTTTTAACTTTTCATATTTGAACACTTTAGTAAGCAAATATTTAAATATTCTGGGTGGGGCTACAAGACAACTGGAAATAACCAGTAATAAAGAAATCCTGGTCACAACTTTTAGCAAAAAAAAACAAATGCTTCACTTCAAACTTGTTTTTTTTTTAAACTGTTGCATATATTCAAATGATTTTCATAGCCTGAACTCTAAGGCAAAATCAGTCACTTCAGATATCTCGTCAATGGTTAAACATTGATCTTCATTGATTGTGTGGGTAAACATTTTAAAGATTTCTGGCTTATAGAATGTCAGCCATATTATAGTTGGTCTTCACGTGACATTTCACTGTGTTTCAAATGCTAATACAAATTGTACACTAACGCTTTCTGGTGTATCACAACAGTTTTAACAGCAGTTTTCTCCCTTGAAATAAAACTTACCCCTTCGTGCGCTCAGTTTTTTTTTTTTTGTTCTGTTTTGTTTTCTTTTTATTGGCCATTGCAACCATCACAAAATATTGGGGACCGGAGGAGAAGCCCAAAGACATTGGAAACAAATTGATCCAAAACCAAACTACATGGCAAACTAGTTCAGAATAACATCAACTTGTGACAGTGCAATGTGCAATATGTCCAATTCATATACCACATTAATTTATTTTTTTTTTTTTTTTAATTATCCAAATAATATATTTCATTTGATCTTTGAGAAATTATGTTTTTATTATTAATACTCTACCATCTTTAAATAATCAAATGAGGTACTTTTATGTTATTCTGTATGCTCTTAAAAGATTTTTTGTTCCATTTTAAGCATAACTGAACATAATCTGTTTTTAAAAAAATATAGGTTTCCCAGTACATTGGTGAAATTTGCCGTTATCTTCTTGTCCAACCACATCGACCATCGGAAACCCAACACAAAATCCGGCTTATGTTTGGAAATGGACTCAGACCACAGATTTGGGGAAAATTCCAGAAGAGATTCTGTATTGAACAGATTGGTGAATTTTATGGTGCTACTGAAGGCAACTGTAGTCTGAGTAAGTTTTCTTTACTTTATAATTCTTGTATTTGCTACTATTAACAATTATATTAACATTTGTGTAAAATCATTGGTTTTTAATTTTAATAATAATAATGTACTGGGTGTAACAGCAAAATTGTTCAGTTGTTAGATTAAGCTTTAAATGATTGTATCTTAGAAATGATTAAAGATATCTTACTGGAATTACCCAAGCTTTTTATAACACTATTGGACTCTACTTTGAACAATAAGAATGTATTTAGCTCTGAGTTAAAATGATGATCCCTCTTGCTGTTGTGACCTCCTGATCCAGTTTTACCTCTCTACTGTTCCTACTTTTTTAAACTTAATCACCATTCTCTTGATGGTTCTTAAATAGACTTTGAAGATGGAAGCCAGAGTATGAATGTTGGTACCATTACTGAAAGCCTGTATAATCTTTTTCCTCTCACCATTGCTCAGTTGAGAAGACATAGTTTGACTGACACAAAACGATTGTAACTTGTTCTCTTTCTAGCTGAATAACTAAAAGGGTTTTTCAGTGATTCTTGCAACAAATGGTGTCAAGATGGCTAAATGTCTTATCTGAAAACCTAGGAAAAAAAACTCAATTAGTTTACTAGATTTTTAGGTATTAAAGATTTTTCTGCGATGGATAATTATCCCATACTGTTACACCCATTATCATACTTATTATAAAACCCAGGTTGTGTGTGTGTATGTGTCTGTACATTTATATATTGGATCGGATTTCCTACATTTTTCAACTGATTTCAGCAAAACTTCACAGAACTACGTAAAATTACCTTGCGGTGGTTCTGACAGCACCAAAAATTGGAAAAAACACAATTGTTTTTGCACAAAATCAATTTGAAAACACGATTAAGAGGCATCTGCCGCCAGAATGAATGGGGGACAACTCATATCGAGTTATACTTATTATAAAACCCAGGTTGTTTGTGTGCGTGCATGTTTGTTCCTTTATATATGGGATCGGATTTCCTACATTTTTCAACCGATTTCAACAAAACTTCACTTTTTTTTTGGCAGGTAGTGTTTCTTATTGTCTTGCATACTTTTTTCTTTATTTTTACATTCAGAATGCTTTAAAAATTCCATTTACAAGACAATTGTTTAGTTTGGGTTTGACCAATTTGTAAAAAAAAAAAAGAAAAAACAAAACAAAAAAAACTAATAAAGACATGCGTGTCCGTCAACCTTAAACAATAATCTTTGTCAATTTTATTTTTCAGTCTTATGATGGTTGATACTTGATCTATCTCTTACTGTTACATCCTCGGGCAACGCCGGGCTCTACTGCTAGTAGTAAATATTTACAAGTAGTAATGATGGCAAAAACATTATTTTTATACAGAATTTTGTAATATCATATCAGATTATTTATAATACAGTTGGAAAAGAGGAAGTAGTTTTGACCTGATTGCACATTGGTCATTCATAGCTGACTCTTGTGTTTATACTAAAAAAAGAGGAACAGCAAAAATGTACATGTGGTAAAGTAATCACAAACATATCCTCTTGCAATGTGAAAGGTTTTCACAAGGTAGAAGGAGGTGTTATCAGGCGGGAGGGAGTCTGGCTGAACTCTTTCAGCAGTCAACAAACATCATGGAATTCCTGAATAAGACAAATATATACTATAAAATATAAAGGAAATTTTAAAAAATGTTAAACATTTTATACAAGTATTTGTACATATATTTATATTTGTAAATTTAAATTTTTTTAACCATGTACAAACAAAAGAAAAAAGTGCTACCTATTGACTTTATTTTCAAAAATATATATATTTAATGCTATTACTTGTATATTTACATTCATCTTTTTTCATGAAGAAAACAATATATTTAAATTTATATATTTATAGTTAAATCTTTAACCGTGTATATACATTAAATTCTTGAAATTATTTTAACATTAAAAAACTTTGCTACCAAATAAACTTTATTTTCATAATTATGTATAAACAGTACTTGGCTTTAAATAACCCAAAAGGATTGATAGGTCATAAAACCCAAACAAACAATTATAATATGATTGTATATCATAATAGTTATAAATTGTAGGTATGGTGTTAAAATGGCATTAAGTGCATTTTTCGTGAAATTATATAAAAAAAACCCTAATGATAAAAATGCAGAAATACATTTTTTTTTTTTTTTTTTTTTTTTTTATAAATTGGGGCCTGATTTCACAAAATTTTATGATGAATCATAATTCTTAAATTAATGATTGAATAAGTTCCTTGCAAGTTCCATGACTATAAAATAGTTGTGAAAATTACCCTGTTGCATCATTAAATATTTGACCTTAACAACTTTAACAAAATATGAATGTAAGTCATTATTTAAAGAAGTAAAAGGATACTAATGAAAAGATCAAAATTGATATGTTTTTGCATTTTACTGAAACAAATGTTAAATGTTTGAAAGCATTATTGCCTTTGCTGTCTTTTCTTTCTTTTCTTTCTTTTTTTTCTTTTTTTTCCAGTTAATATGTATGCTTTCTTTTCTTCACTAAAGCCAAACATCATCTCTGGTATATTTCTTTTCTCTTTCCTTGCTATCAAAACAGAATGGTCCATTATTTATCTGAGGTAATGGCAGAGGAACAAGCAAAATTATGTGGTAACTAACAGAGGAACAAGCAAAATTATAATATGATTGATAGCCTCCCCCACCTCAGTCTACTTAAAAATACTTAACATGCCAAATAAAATAAAACAGCCAATCAGTTTAGAATTTAAATCTTGCTATTAATAAATTTCTGTCATTTAATGTAATTCATTTAACATAAAAATTCAGCAATGAAAACTTAAGATTTACAGGGAGATCACCATTATTTCTCTGAAATCATTTATTATTTTAATACTTGAATATTACAGTCAACATGGATAACACGCCGGGAGCCGTGGGTTTCACGACACGAATTTTACCAGCATTGTACCCAGTCTCTCTCATCAAGGTTGATGAATGTACAGGGGAACCAGTCCGAGATAGATACGGAATGTGTGTTCATGCCAAACCAGGTAATTTATATTCTGTTAATACCATTTTAAAATTCTTTTGGTCCAAGTCATTTTTTTTTTCATGTTTATACTTTTGATATTATAAAACTTTTATTAAAAGTCATTTGAAATTTAGAAAGATTTGAATAATGCTTGTTATGCTAAAATGTATTTGTTTTTTTGTTTTTTTTGTTTTTTTTTTTTTTTTGGTGCCATGTTCCTTCAGGACATAGGCGATCATGGCTCTCCACAGATTTCTTTTTTTATTCTTTTTTTTTTCTCTTCGTGAATTGCCATGATTACTTGGGAATGATAGTGGAGTGGTTTCCCCTTGCCTTCTTCATAGTTTTGAATTCACTATAGTCCTTTCTCATAGACTGGTTACCACCTTAAACTATAGAGCCCAGTCTATCCTGTCATTTATTTCATAGATGGATTCATGCCTTGACCATGGGCATTTGTGTGAAAGTGAACACAAGAGGCTGGAATTCGAACTTTGCTTTCCAATTCCACTTTTCATATCTGATATACAACCTGCTTATTTGTTTACTGCACTACACAATAAATATATTACACCAATAAAAGACAAACATTTAAAGAACATTCATAAAAAAAAGAGGGTTAACAAAAACATATCTCGATGTAAATTGGTAATACCAAAATATAACAATTAAAAACAGCTAAACTGGGAACATGTATTTTTTATATTTATTTTTTATTGCTGTAATACATATTTTTGTTACCTCCTTATTGTTATGAATGTTCTTTTAATGTCTGTTTTTATTGCTATAATAAAATCTTGTACTATCAGCATACTATGATGCCGACCTATCCCAGCATACTATAGCAGTTGTTGATTTTACTATACCTTTTGTTTTTGATTTTGTTTAACTATTTTGTGTTGAAATCAAGTAAAATAAGTACAATAGATATATTTTAAAGTATTATTTTGTATTTTAAGTAAGTTAAATAAATATTTTTGTCCCTAAAAACTACAATTTCCTTTCTCTCACTTTTTTTTTTTTTTTTTTTTTTTTTTTCAGAGGGGTCAGTTAATGTTATATATATATTTTTGATTGATTTTTATCTTTAGGTGAACCTGGGCAGCTAGTTGGCAAAATTGTTCGAGGAGATCCTGCTCGAGAATTTGATGGTTATCTTAACCAGAAAGAAACGTCCAAAAAAATTGTTACCAATGTTTTCCGAAGAGGTGACGTGGCTTTCCTTACAGGTAAAATAATTACACAAAATTTTCTTTTGATATATGATCCTCTAGGAAAAATACATTTGAAAGAAGCATTTTAAATATATTTTATTTATTATTTTGAATATCTTCGGTCCAAATTGTCAAATAACCTGATCACTGCTGTCATTCCATATTGATATCAGCAATTAAAAATTTAAAACCTATATATTTTACTGAAGCAGTTGAACTTATTACCTCCCTTGAAATATTATTCCCCTTGCATTATCATTAAAGTAGACATTTTAATTGCAATAAGATAAAAGTATGTACCAAATACAAGTAACGACATGATTAGTTACTCCTCCACTCGGCACGGTAGTTATTTGCTATGGCACATTTATTATTTTTCAAATAATTTTTTTTCTACGGAATGATGATTTTATTCCAGTTTATTAAACTTGGAATCTTTTCTATTAATTTACTCCAAAAGCTACTTATTGCAAATATTAATTTACCTAAGAAATTATAAATTTTGAATCAGTTTGTTTTCTATTAAATTTTTGGCACTCTTTTAAAATTATAATTTTAAATCCATTTGTTTAGCTTGCTATGAAGTTGCCAGATAGAACAGCCTCCACATTATTAGACACAATCTGAAGCTGTATTTTACCTGGGACTATGATTATGTTGGATTGTTGGAAAGGATGTACGTCTTTGAAGGATGATCCCAATTATATTCATCTGACTGTAAATCACAATCTGAATTTCTTTGACCCAGTAACGATCAAAAGTACCTGGTGGAATGCCAAAATGAACAATACGTCCATGTTTGGGATTCATTGCAGCATGATAAACTCTTATTTGTGTGAGTTCCTTAGGAGACAAGGCAAAAAAGAACAATTCATTTTTGAGCAAATTTTAAAGGACATTTCTGAATTTTGGTGTGAATTTTAGTAAATATAAATTCTTTTTATTTTGGGATTAATTAACAGAAAAGTTCCTAAACTTGTATAAAAGAATTCCCAACAGAACGTATATTTGAACTGGCACACTTATTTTATAAGTTGAAAATTCCCACCTGTATTACTATTCTAGATGGCGCACATATTTGGTACAAAAAAGTAACTACGGAAGAATTAAAGGAAAACAAAAAGGACCAACATTTTCTGTTCTCTTAGTCATTGTTAACACCTACTCTCATAATTGTATGAGAAGAATCATCTGTCTTTGAAGTTGGTGCAGTTGATGAGCTCAAAGGTGGTTTGAAGGCTGATACTTATCTGGAATCAATGGTAACAATGAAAACAAGATTGGTGGAAGTAGCATCTCTGCCTGCTATCCGTTTTTAAGGTTTTGCCATCCATTTCTCATTATGACTACTATTTTTGACACATATATTTCAAACAAGCTTGTATCTTCATCAGTGTTTATTTCTGTTATTATTAGGACTCTAAAAACCTCAAAGTCCTTCCTCCCAGGTGACCCAACCAAGAGTAATCACCTCCTTGGTATTTTCTTGACTTTTTTCAGGTGAATTTGAAGAATTTATTCTGAGCTGATATTGATTTGATTTCTTTTGGAATTCAACCAATGAAAATTGGTTTTACAGTTGCTGCAGTCTCTGTCTATCTATGCAATGTTGAATTTTCCCCACCATATTTTTATTAAACTGTTTATTAAATGGTTAAAACTGTAGTGTATATTTTTGTGGAAAGTAAGCTGCAAACAAATTCTAAATACACTTGCTGGTTGTTTTAGTCGTTTATTAAACTTAGAAGTAATAGTCAACCAGGCTAGCTTGCTAATCACTACTCCATACTACCCACTCCACTGCTTGTTATTGCAGCTTGACTCCCTGTTTGAATGTTTCACAGTTAAAAAAACATAGCATTTTTTAATATTAGAAAAATGTGCCAAATTCACTTAATCAAATTGAATCTAGTACAAAACTGTTAGTATTACAAAGATGTTAATTTCATATAAGATAACTGTAAAAGGTTGGTAGCATAATTAAAAATAAAACATTACTTACAGAAATAATAAGTACTGTTTGTACTTGTAAAAAAACATTCAATACGAATCCATTTTTCTAACAGTAACTTTCCTCTCAAATAGTAAATGCCTTTCTGCAAAATTGCTTTTTTGTTTTCTAATTTTTACAAGTTTATTCAGTTTCTGTTTTGAAATCATCTACTTCATACTTCCAAGGTAATCTATTTTAAATTTAGTGCAGTGTCATAATACAATAATGAAGATGCTTTATCTTTTAACTGAAAAAAATTAGTTATGTATACAAAGTTGGAACAAATGGCTAGCCTTCAAAAGCATGAACAACCAGTAGCCCATGTTACCTCCATTGACATTTGTTGCAGAGTTATCAGTGTGTGACAGAAGTTACCAATTGTTGAATGGATGCTCATTAACTGTAAATAAAGTTTGTAACAGTCAATATATTTGTAAAATTATAGTTCATTTCTTCTGGCTTGTAAGCAATTTCTGTAATCCATTTCCTTCAACCAACAATGGTACAAACGAAAACAATCCCCCAAACACTAACCACAACATGTGTCTCCTGTTCACTACAACAGTCACACTTATTCTTTCTGTTGTCTCTTTATGCACTTTTTATAGCTTGAGTGACAGTTATAATTTACATATGTTGAAAAAGACTCTCTCTCTCAAGAGTCTATCCAACTCTGGGATCTGTTTTAAATGTATGACTTGTGAAGCTGTCATTTTTCCTTTTGGGATATTTTGTGTATGAGACTTGTCTGAATCTGTTTTTGTCCTGGAGATAAGCTATTTTCTCTAGTGTTACATTGACTGTTGCAAAAAAAGTCATGCAATCCTGAGCCTCTTTGCCCTCTGTACTAGTTCAATAGATTAACAATAGAATAATGCTTGCATGGAATATTTTCTCATAGAAGAGATAGGAATGAAATTGCAAGCAATATTATATATATATATATATATATATATATATGTATATGTATGTCATTTTATTGTCTTAGCAAAACTATTTTGGAAGGATACAGAAGAGGTAAACAGACGTGTGTGTGTTTAGATGTCCTTATTCATGTGTGGTATACGTAAAGTCCTATTGAAAGTGATGAGAAACTTGTATGCTATGTTGTGTACAATGTGGATTGTTGGGGACTAAATGTCCACTTGTGTGGGTTGAGCTATGTCTTGTAAGCATTTCACTATCCTTGGCATAACGAGTAAGATCATGTGCCATTTCTTTTATATATTGCTTTATACAATACTACTTAGAAGTTTTCTTGGAGACAAATAATGTAATGCCACATATTAAAGATAATTTGATTTTTCTTCTAATTAAATATGTATAAATATTTATTAAGCTCTGTTTGAGTATGACATAAGAACAGAAGAAATGGGGGTAGAAAGATTGGGTTGCACCAAATTTTTAAATGAGTTGGCACAAATTGCTTTACAAATTAATATTCAAAATCTCGATTTATCACCTGGGCTTCAAAACAAACAACTGGGACTGATGAGAAATATGCAACCATTTCACCAATAAGGCAGTCACAATTATAGTTTTGGATGTGGTTGTATCCAAAACTATTACAGATATGATCAAAACCAAAAATATCCATAACGATAATAATTCTGAAGCAGATATATATAAAATAAATTACCAGAATTGCACCTCATAATACATTGGAAATTTAAAAAAAAAAAAAAACATATCTGTGAATACAAAAGGGATCTTATACACAATAATTCATCAAATGCATTAGTTATACATAGAAATAAATTCCACCACAACTTTGATCTAAAGAAAGCCACACTTATTGAAAGAGAATGTAACTTATTTAGAAGGAAAATTCTTGAGAGTGTTGCTATCAAATCTTATCAAAATATAAATATGTGACCTAGATTTTTTTCCAACTATCTCCATTCCTGAAAGAATCACTACTTTCTCAAGCCAGCATACATGACTATAAAAATATAAAAGAATTAAAAGAAAATGTTTAAATTTATTACCTCATGTTATTTAGAATTAATCTCAAACTAAAATAATTTAAATACAGGTTAACAAAAAAAAAAAAAATAAAAAAAATTCAAGAACATCATTTTTCTGCATTCAAAACTTGCAGAGGGTCATTTTGAGGACCTTGTGGTAAACTGTGTACCAGTTCTATGTATTTAGCTTTTCCAAAATGTGTGGTTGGTCCTGTACAAAGCCTCACCACTATAATCAAATCATAAGTGCAGATAGTATAGCTTTTTAATTTTAAGAACTGAGTTGCTGGACCCTGATGCATCAAAAGACAATGAGAGTGTCTCTCTCTCTCTCTCTCTCTCTCTCATATGAAAATCCTAACAAGCCAGGCAAACCTGGTTTGCCTGGCTCCTTAGGATTATCTTAGGTTTTGCTTTATGTAGTTGTCTTTTCGTTTTGTTTTTTTTTTTTTTTTTTCGACTTGGAGCTTAAACATGGGATGATTGTTTTTGCCTTGTTTTAATGTTCTTGGTTCTTTTTTTTTATTCCCCATTTTTCCTCAGGTACTGATTTGTTCTACTGCAAGTCGAGCTATCTGAGGTTTTTCTAAATGAGTACCATCATTTTTATATATATATATATATATATATATATATATTCAGAAATTTAAGAAAAAAAATATCTGTGAATACAAAAGGGATCTTATACACAATAATTCATCAAATGCATTAGTTATACATAGAAATAAATTCCACCACAACATTGATCTAAAGAATGCCATGATTATATTAAAAAGTGCTCAACACACAATCACAAAAAATTGAACATGCAAAGCTTTTTAAATATTAAAAATAGGAAGATCAACCATTTACACTATCATGGTAGCATAAGTGGTTAATCTTCCTATATATATATATATATATATATATATATATATATATATATATATATAAAATAAAAAAAAACAAAATTCTGTCACTAACTTTAGCATTGACTCATTTACCATCTTGAGTCATGCTTGCTCTATATTGCAGATAAATGTGTTGGAAACAATTTACATTCAGTCCAGACAGCCCTCCCTCTGTAAACAGAGGGTGTGTCTGTTAGAACTAAACATGATTTCAATTTAAATTGTATTCCACCTTCATTAATATTACATATCGTTTTTGTTTTATTTTCTTGCCATATATAATCCCTCAATTCATCTTTTTTGAGAGAGGGTGAAACAGTTGGCTGTGTTTTTTTTTTTTTTTTTTTTTTTCAATCATGAAAAGTAAAATAAGTCTAACCTTTTTTATTGCTATAATAAAATTCTGTAACCCACAGAAAATTATGAAATATATATATAAGTATTCTTTTATCTATACTATCTAGGTATACTTTTATTCGTGTGTTCCCAGACTCCATGAATTCAAGCGTCCTACAAGGCTGGCATCCCACTCTCACCCTTTCACTGTTGAAACTGTTAAATGTAGCCGTCTCTTCTACTCCAATAGCTTCATATCTCACACCTCTCGCTTGTGGAACTCCCTTCCCTTTTCCTGTTTCCCTGATAGCTATAATCTCCAACTATTCAAATGTAATGTCAATCGACATCTCCAGTTGCCTTGATCTATCCACTATCCTTCTCCTCATCCTTTCCTCTATCACTCTTAACTGCTCTCGCTCCAAATCCTCTGTAATCCCTTGCATGCTAGTGGCTTTCCACCTTGCTTGGGGTGAAATGCTTAAAAAAAACAACAAAAAATCCCTGGCTATGGCTAAAAAGACCAAAAAACATTAAAAAGAAGAGGTTGTACCTGATCTCATTTATTTATATGTATAAACTACTTGATTTCCTTTTATTTGCAGGTGATGTATTAGTCATGGACAAGTTTGGTTACATGTACTTTCGTGACAGAACTGGAGATACATTCCGTTGGAAAGGAGAAAATGTTTCCACATCTGAAGTTGAAGGAGTAATCAGCAATATTCTTAAGCTGAAAGATGTTGTTGTTTATGGTGTTGAAGTCCCCGGTATGTTTGATGTTTTTATCTTTTCTCTGTCATGAATTTGTGATTTTTGCGGTAGGGTGATGATGATTTAAGTGATATACTGTACCTCTATAATATTTCACAACTGTAATAAGTTTGTCAAATAGGATTTTACCTATCTGCATATATTGGTTATAAGAGAAATAAAGTAAAGAGTCAGACGTGAAGGAAGTTAACTACTGATCACATGTCAAAGGACATTATACAACAATAATAATATTAAATTCCTCTATTACAATAATATATGTAGAGGAAATGTAAGACATGAATTTTCACAAAAGAAAACTTTAGTTACTTGCATTCAACTCATTAAACTAGTGCTAACTTATCTTGTTACCAAGGGGAAAAAATGTGAATACGTTTATTGGCCAGGTGTTATGTCCCTTGAAGTTGTGTGCACATGAGCAAATAATACTTACTGTCCTTGATATATAAAAAAAATCCTTACCAAGAAGAATAATAGTGTTTTGTGACCAAAGCTGCATGAATATGCAAGTAATTAATTACAGAAAGGCAGAGGAGAATGGTAAAATACATGTTGGGACCGAACCAGTGAGAAAAAAAAGTTTTGCAGTTACATATTTATAAATGTAGTTTTTTTGTATCGGCTTAAAAATGAACTTTTTTGCCTCTCAGGTATTGAAGGACGTGCAGGTATGGCTGCTATATTGGATGAACATGAAACCCTCAACTTGGATTCCCTTAGTGAAAATTTGGCCATGGTTCTACCCCCATATGCTCGGCCAATGTTCATTCGACTGTTGAAATCTGTAGAAACAACTGGTAAGTTTAATCATTACTTATTCAATACTTAAACATGCATTAATAATTAATGTACAAGAACTAACATATTCAATTTCTGCACATTTGTGCATGTCTCTGTTTTTTATGTATATGTGTGTAAGTAATGTAAATAAATAAGGAATGTTAGTAATAAAGAATTTGATAAGTGTTTTTCAGTAGAAGAAACACTTTAATCATGACTTAAATCCAAAGAAGAATCAGCAATATTATTGGTCTTGATTTGTTGGCTTAGCTTCAGTCACTTACCCATCACTGGGAGGTTGCCTCTCTGTGTCTTTTCTATAAGTACTTTCATGGTAATTGTTCAGATGAGATCCTTTCTATGATATCCAGACTTTTTGAATTTAAACACATTACTAGACTGGTGTCAAGATCTCATCAATTTACAGTTGAGCTGACTAGACGTAGTCATAAGTTCTATATCTAACAGTTTCTTTACTTATACTTCTCCCTTGTGGAACTCCTTTCTGGCTCCATGCTTTCCAGCCAACTTTAATCTGCAAAAATTTAAATGCAATATCAATTGCTATCTACTGTCCTCCTGATTACTCTTTCCTCTTCCCACTCATTATTAATGTTTCTGTTTTTAATTTTTCCACACTCTATAACCCCTTGTGTCTTAGTGGCTTTACAACCTTGCTTGGTGTGATACCAATTTAAAAAAAGAAAAAAGTGAATGCTCAATATCTTACCCTCATAATCTCCACTTACTGTCATCTTTTCATATCTCAAATCCCATTCAGTATTAGCATTTCAACTGTAATCTTCTACTTTAAGAGGCTCTCAAACCTTTTATTCTGTGAACTTTTCTGTAGAAAAAATATTTTACCACTGATCTCTACACACAAGTACAAAAGAGTACAAGAAAAATTACTGATTAAAACTAATTAAAGTGTTTTCTACAAGGGGTCCTAAAATATCAGTCTAGAGGTTTTTGTTTAGGCTGTAAAATTTTTAGTACCCTCTTTTATAAGATAATATTTCAATGTATCTGCTTCAACACATTAATCTCAGATTACTGAGAATACTTCTAAAATCATGCCAGGTTACTCCATAAGTAACATCCAAATTTAAGAACAGAAATGTAAAAACCTAATATTTTAATTAGAATTTATTTATTAGGACAGATTCCATTATTATTATTATTATTATTATTATTATTAACCTCCTCCCTCTCAAAACCTATACCAATATACTAGTCTGTATAGTTATTATTTAGACATTTTAGAATAGTGAAAATATAACTCAATTTTTCACTGTCAGAATCTGTATAGGACCTGACTGTTAGATCATTTTTAGGGTCTGTTCATAGATATCTGTATACAACATTAAGGATCTTATATAAAATAGATAAATAAAAACTTTCAAGATGAAGTGTTGTTTGACCAGAAGGGGTTGGTTTTTCCAAACATGGACTCATATAGGAGAGTCCAGGTTAGAACGAGTGGAGGGAGGAGCTCTCTGTCCACCTCTGTAGCAGTCACTTGATAGAAATAAGAAATGAAGGGACCTAAGTCCTACATACATGCTCACATGAAAAATGCAAGATGTGATTCAAAACTCAACCAGTAATTAAATTATTGAAAACATGATTTGTTTTCTATTTTTTTCATTTCTCCCCATAGCAATATTTTCACTTTCTGTTCATTTGTGAATGTTCAATGGACCTTTTCCCAATTTTTGATCACACCAATGAAAACAATAATTGTTTGTGAAATGTCCATTTGAAAGACTGAAAGCATGTTGCATTAATTTAAGCGAGGTACCTCCAAATATTCACTTAAAAAAGAGCATATCATGGTGATAAATTCATTGAGTGAGCATAGCATGCAAAGGTTTCGACTGATATAATTGGGATTTCCCTGAAAAGTTTTTTGGGCGCAAAGTGGGTGATCACTGTATATTTCTCTTTTGTTTGCGCTTTATATTTACATTTACTTTCTTTAATTTAGCATTATCAACAGGAAAATCCCTCCTGTAAAATCTGCTTAAAAATATTTTTCATTCAAATTTATGGAGTAAGCGTAGCATGCAACAGATTCGACTCATATAATTGGGATTTGCTTGAAATATTTTGTGGGCGCAATGTGGGTGATCACTGTATATTTCTTTTCTGTTTGTGCATTATATTTAAATTTACCTACTTTAATTTAGCATCATTGACAGGCAAAACACTCCTCTAAATCTGCTTAAAAATATTTTTCATTCAAATTTATGGAGTAAGCACCAAGCTTGATAAAAATGTTTTGTCGAAATGTTTATTAGTAAGAAGAAAGACTGATGTATTTTTTGATTATTTTATTAAATTTTTTAATCTTCTGTAGCATGTTCAAATTTTTGGTTAAAAATCTTTTTTCATGTGTCAGCAGGTGGATAATATATGAAATTTATCAATTTTTTTTATTTTTTTTTTTATGTAGTTTTGGAAATTCTAACAAAAATCAAATAATTGTCAGATTTTAATGAAATTTTCAGGACTTGGTAAAAATATTTTTTGATGAAATTTTGAGAAATTAAAACTCCACCTACTTCATATTTATATTAATTAAAAGCAGGATCACCTTGGAGAATTTAAATCATCAATTTGTTTTTGTAAAAACAAAAATCTGCTCTGAATTGTAAAATAAAAGATGTAATAAAGCTATGACATTATTAATTAAAGCTTTTAATTGATTTTATAAATAAGATAGATTAAGCACAATATTAAAACATTCTTTCAATGAATAGTTAATTTTTACAAGAATTGTTTTCAATTTTTTTAAATTTTAATTACAATAATTTAAGTTTTAAATCTTTTAAAATTCTGTATTAATTTTACCCTTTTAGATGATATTATTATTAAGTAAACTATATTTACTAATCATCAATGGAAAAGCTTAATACAAATCATCAAATACCAAAATTTTTAAAAGAATTTTGAATTTTTTGTATGTGTATAAATGTGCCAATTTTTGTTGATATGAATTATTGTACACATTATCAGAAAATAAGAGGGATAACTATAAAAAAGTTAAAGCCAAAAAGTATCTAAGATTCAATAAAACATTAGATTACAGAATATTTACTTAAATTTTTAAGATGAGTACTTAAAAATGATATATAAAAGACGCTCACATTATATTCAATTATTTTTTACGGTTAAAGCCCCACTAGAAAAACATTTGATAAATATAAATCTGTCATCAAGCTATCAAACATGTCAACAGCTTAAATAAACAGCTACTGTTCGGTTAAAAAATGCATTTCTGCGATATTTCAAACTTAAAGTAAATAGTATTTGTTTCAAATTAGATTAATTATACTTTAAATCAGCTAATATTCCTCAATGTTTCAGAAAAGTATATTTCAGTTTTGGAAGATTTTTTAATAAAGAGAATTATATTGCAATGAAAGACAACTAAAAAAAGGGTACTAATCATCGATTTTTAACAACAATAAACAAACCCAGACTTCTTTAAATTTTCTTTTTGCTTTACAATTATTTTCTTGAGTGAGTATAATTCTTGGGATATTTTGAATTACTTCAGTACCAGTGGAAATTTCATGGCTTTCATGATTTTTAAGTTGATCATTGAATAAGCAAGTTCCATAACATATAGTCATCCACATACAAGCCTGTTTCGCTGTATCACAGCTCATCAGTGTAGCTAGACATCCAATTGCTTCAACCCAGGATCAAAAATCTGACTGATTTGGCATTAGTCAGAGATCGTACCCCTAAGCTATCAGTGCAGGACAGAGATAGGGAAATTTTAATGTATTGTACCCGGATGTATACAAACACCAGCAGTCAGAGGGCTCAATTCATTAATAAAGACCGGTGCATCAATAGCAGCAGTGGCTACTGTTTTGAAATTACCCTTTTCTGTATGGTAACAAATAACAAGAGTGTAACATAGTCGTCCTCATACAAGCCATTTTATATATATATATATATATATATATGCATGCACGTGCGCGCGCACACACACACCCCCCTATGTAAACCCCACTGTTGTTAAATATTTAAACTTAATAACTTAACCAAACATTGCAATAACAAGCAAAAGTATGAATGCAGGTCATTATTTAAAGAAATAAGAGGGTACAAATGAAATGATTGAAAACTGACATGATTTTCTATTTTGCTGAAGCAGACATTAAATGTATGAAAGCATTATCGCTTCTTTTATCATCCTTTTCTTTCTTTTTCATAATTACATATGCTTTGGTTTTTCTCATTAAAACCAAAGAATATCTCTGATATGTTTTATCTTCCATCTTTCCTCACAGTCAAAATGGAATTGTCTATTATTCATCTGAGGTAATGGCAGGACATAACGCATGTGCTAACAAACTTACTAACAAATGGAGGAACAAGCAAAATTATTATATATAATCTTTTAATTGGAAGCATTCACATGGATTCTAATTGTTACTTTTCTTGCACTTCTCACTTGTGGAACTCTCTTCCAGTTTCTTACTTTCCTACCACCTATGATCAACATTTAAATACATCATCAATTGCTATCTTCTGTCTTCCTGAACTTCTATTGTCCTTTCTCTTCACTAAAATTTTCTCATTCTTCCAGTAACCTCTTGCATCTTACAGGCATTATTGCTATCTTCCTGAACCTTGTTCTTTTATTGCCATTTCATATATATATATATATATATATATATAGGTGAGAGATTACATTTTTTTTTTCTTTAAATCTTTCATATTTCTTTATGTAACTTAAGACTTTCTATCTTGTTTTATGATAATTGATAAAAGGATTTATTCTTTTAGTTTTTTTTTTTTTTTTTTTTTTTTTTTTTTTCAATAAATAAAAGATATTTTATTTCATAATTAGAATGACAAAACCCAAAGTTAAAAACTCTATCTTAGTTATTAGACAGCAGATATTTGCTATGAACTTTTTCCTGCCAAAATGAGAAGATTTTTCTTGATAGTTATAAATATTTTTTGAGTCTAATTTCATGAAATCCATAGAAATAAGTCTAACATTATTTATTTTTCAGGGACGTTCAAAATTCGAAAAGTGGATTTGAAGAAAGAAAGCTTTGATGTAACAAAGGTTCAAGATAAAATCTATTATATGGATGTTCGATCCGGACAATATAAGCCTGTGACACCAGAAATCTACAAGGATATTTGTGAAGGCAAAATCAAGTTGTAA